GAGAAGATAGAAAAGAAAAAAGAAAAAAAAGAGGAGAAAAGAAGAGAAGAAAGAAAAAATAGATAGAAGAGAAAAGAGAAGAAGAGAAGGAGGAGGGAAGGAGGAGAAAAGAAAAGAGAAAAGAAGAAAGATAAAAGGAGAAGAAGAAAAAGAGAGAAGAGAGAGGAGGGAGAAAAAAGAAAGGAAAGAGAAAAAGAGAGGAAGAGGAAAGAGGAGAAGGAAAGAGAAAGAGACAAAGAAGAAGAGAAAAGAAAGAGAGAGAAGAAGACAAAAGCAAAAAAAGAAAAGAGAACAAAGAATGAGGAAAAAGAAAAGATAAGAAGAGGAACAGAAGGAAGTAACCAGATAGTAATAAGGAAGAAGAAGAAAGCATCAGAATGAGAAAAAGAAGAAGAAGAAGAGAAGGAAGAAAAGAGAAAGCAATGAAAAAAAAGAAAAGAAAGAAGAAGCAGAACAGAGAAGGAGAAAGGAAGACAGAAGCAAGAGAACAAATGAAGGGTGAATGAAAGAAGAAGAGCAACAGAAGAGAAGAAGAGAAAGAAGAAAGAAGAAAGAAGAAGAAGAAAGAGGAAGAAGAAAGAAGAGAGAAAGAAAGAAGAAGAATAGAAAGAAAGAAGAAGAAGAAAGAAGAAAAGAGAAAGAAGAAGAAGAAGAAGAAAGGAAAGAAGAAAGAAGAAGAAAGAAAGAAGAAGAAGAAAGAGAAGAAGAGTAGAAGAAGAAGAAGAAGAAGAATAACAAGGGAAGAAAGAAAGGAAGAGAAGAAGAAAAGAAGAAGAAGAAGAAGGAAGAAGAAGAAGAAAAGAAGAAAAGAAGAGAAGAAAGAAAGAAGAAGAGAAAGAAGAAGAGAGAAGAAGAAAGAGAAGAGAAGAAAGAAGAGAAGAAGAAGAAGAAGAGAAAAGAAGAAGAGAGAAGAAGAGAAAGAAGAAGAAGAAAGAAGAAGAAAAAGAGAAGAAGAAGAAGAAGAAGGAAGGAAAGAAAGAAGAAGAAAAAGAAGAAGAAGAAAGAAGAAGAAGAAAGAAAGAAGAAGAAGAGAAGAAGAAGAAGAAGAATGAAAAAGAAGAGAAGAAGAGAAGAGAAAGAAAGAAGAAAGAAGAAGAAAGAAGAAAGAAAGAAAGAAGAGAAAGAAGAAGAAGAAAAGAAGAAGAAGTAAGGAAGAAGAAAGAGAAGAAGAAGAAGCAAGGAAGTTAAGAAGACAGAAAGTAAGAGAAAGAAGAAGGAAGAGAGAAGAAGGAAAGAAGAAAACGGAAAGAAGAAAAGAAGAAAAAGCAAGAAGAAGGGAAGAAGAAGAAGAAGAAAACATAGAAGCAAATTGAATATCAACGAGAGAAGCGAGAGAAAAGAAAGAGAGAAGAGTAAAGTCAATTTAAGAAGAATTCGAAGTTTACAGGGTAAAGAAGAAGAGGAAGAAGAAGAGAAGAAGAGAAGAAAGAAGAAGAAGAAAGAAGAAGAAGAAAGAAGAAGAAGAAAGAAGAAGAAGAAGAAAGAAGAAAGAAGAAGAAAGAAGAAGAAAGAAGGAGAAGAAGGGAGAAGAAGAAAGAACAAGAAAAGAAAGAAAGAAAGAAGAAAGAAAAGGGAAGAAGAAAATTTTCCTGTTAGAACAAGAGGTGCTTGGGGGCAGATATCATTTCTGTTTAACTCACTGTTTTTTCAAAAATTGGAAAAGTTCGAAATAACGTGAGAAAGTTTGTGCTTTTGGAACCACTAGTTAAGAATTGCCAGCAAAAAGAGGGTATTTTAAATCTATCTATCCATGCATGTTTGTAATGTATCTCTTGTAATATATTTGCCAAAACTGTAAAATTTAACAAAAGAAAATTTAGACATCTTTCCGCAGCCACACTGTACCTCATGTACTGACGTTATCAAACATTTCAATCATTTGGCTGTACTATTAGCAGTTTGAAAGAATCTTTAAATCAGAATGATATTAAAGATTCAATTTGCAAACTCTCATACTTTTTCATTTTCCTTTTGAATTGCATGTGGCAAGTGAATGAACAGAGTTCTCACCATAAAATTTTGTTGGATTGGTGCCCAAGTATACATTGTTGGAATTGGTGTGACTGCATTGATGATTTTCACCGGGCAGGTCTGCACTTCATTGTCCAAGCTGGTGACCTCTGCCTTCTTCATGCAGGCAGCATGAGGGGGAGCCTCCTGGCACGATGTCCACACTGCTTTGCCATCTGCCCAGCGGCGCTGCTCAGCTATCAGAACATCTGCTCACAACATACACACACACAAACATCAATGACTTCCTCTTATTGTTACAAGATAAACATACAGATGTACTGATTTATATTACCACATGCAGAATGGATTGTTTGAAGGAGCCCAGAGCACTACAAGTCATTTTCTCAAGGATTTAATGTATTACCAATAACAAGCTTAATGATATACACTCAACAAATACATTTTCTTTTATTAGTTTCGCAACCCTTTTCTTCCACTTTCACATAAAAAAGCAATATTTTTATCATGTAAGTTAAAACATATTTATCTCTATGCGAAATATTTATTTTATTTTCTTACCAATTCATACACTAAGGAATCAAAACTATTTATGTTTGAACTGTGTCCTAAATTCTAGTAATGATTGACACTGACAATACACTTTGACACTGACGAAAACTAGGCAGCAGTATTTGCTCAAATTCAGAGATCAACAAAAAGGCTTTGTTATGGAAATTTCGTTTGCAGAAAAGTAGCCGGAGCAAGTAGTTTGCTATTGTGCTGAGGATAGAAAGGAATCTGGCTCAGAGCTATTGTGAAAGATTGGTGAATAAGATAGTAAATGGATTTGCTATGTGGAAAATTAATTATGGTCGATAGATATATATGAGATGATTAAGAGTATGACCTGCAAAGAATATCACTATGTATTAAGTTAAGACAGTTGTGATAACTAGCGTTAACGTGTTAAAATTTTAAAACATCAGAAACCGAAGTAACTTCAAACTTTTGTAAATATCGAGGGATTAAAAATTACACTTATGTTTCATTGTTAGAAAAAGTAAGAAATTAAGAATATATATGCTATGAAAACATGGTACAAAAATTGATCTAATCTTATGGCTAATATATAATATACTTTCAATTATACGGTTTTGACTGGACCAGACCTTTGAGCAAACTAAGTCTGTATCCTTCAGACTTGAAAATTCAGTACACAATTTTGAGCCTTCAAGAATTGTACTTTCGTACCAAGATTACAGGTCAATAAAAAATTATCTATACATCACAATACAGTACTAACCCATATCAACACCATCCCGGCATATGTACAACCAAAGTCCATACAATCGAGAGTTTACTATAGATGATTATTTTGTTTTCGGGTGAGTCAACTATGGTCATTAGCCCCATAAGTGTATTGCATGATTTTTATTATGGAAAATGGCAATGATTTTTCCTCTACTGGATGGCAAGATCAAATGCTGACCTACATATTGACTGCTTGAAGGTTTTCCCCAACCAAGTATCTTCCACCAGCAGGGCACCGCTCCTGTTGGGACAAGCTCTTGACTGATCTCCAGATATGAGTGGTAGAATAGTGCATTTAATTGTAAGAATGTATAAACAAGGGGCGAGGATAAGACAAGGAAGATGAAGGAAAGACAATATGCAGACCATCGACCACATATTAAGGTTCTGATCTGGCATTTACTTTGTGTTGACTGAAGAAACCATGGAAAACTACTGCAATTCAGTTGACCACTAGAATTCTCCTCCAGGCAGTGGCTGAATTCTATTTAGCTACCTAGATAATGATGGAAATCATGCCATCAGAACTTAAACCCTAAGATCTTCTGGTCAGAGGCTCTGACATCAGTTGATTTCCTGCACTACGTACACTAGTGTACATGGTCATGAGAGTGGTAAAGAAAACCAATTTAAGTTGTATTATAAGTTCACGAGTTGCTACGGCAGTTAATGTTTTTGTTGGAAACTAAAACAATCTTGCACTCCTTCACAATCACTCACCTCCCATATTACTTCTTTAGTAATTTTATAAATAAATACTGCTTTAAAATTTTTCCGAAAAACGAAATCTCAAAAATACAAAAAGGCAATCCACTAGTCTTTGCTTTACATTACTTCACTGATTAAAACAACAATGTGAAACATTACAAATGTACAGATCGTTCAAAATCCACCAACAGGACATTTACACAGTGTTATGTGTAATACCCTTGTGTAATAATAAAATTCCAGCAATTATTTATTAAATTCTTTCATCTTAACTGTACCTTCATTTACTTTCATATTCAACACTACTACAACAAAATTAGTTAACCCAAATTATATCTCATGACTTTCAAAAAATACGCAATACAAAATATGCAAATAAAAATTAATATGATTTTCAGAACATTGGAGCAATTTTCATCCAATAGAAAACAAAAAAAAGTGCACATCATGCAGACAAATTGTGATTTTTATCAATTCACAGCCAGTTAATATAAATATAAATAGAGAGAAAGAGAAAGAAAAAAAGAAAGTAAGAAGGATTCACAAATCAAAATTAAACCATGAAAGAAGAGAGAAAAGTAACTTATTTCTTACCAATTTTTCAATTTGATAGTAAGTGGTGATGTTTTCCCAAGACTCCATATAGCAATGCATGAAATATTCCACATTATGATAAATAAACCATCAACATAAGATAACCAATAACTATGCGATTGACACTTTCACAAAATATCACAAACTGTAAATCTCGCACATCTCTCAAGAACATTTTTCAGTATTGTATTGGTTGAAATGTACAAGGTCAATCACATACTTATGTTAACTGAACTATCATATGTAACTAACAATAAGTGAAAATATACTGTATTTACCACACTCTGAGATCCCCAAATTTTAACGAGTGTAATAAACCTTGAAACTAGGCTTTATTCAACACAATAGTTCTTTTTTGTACTCATTCTTAATATTCAGTCACAATCAAATTATAGATTGACTTATTGATTAGAAAATTAATAAATAGATATAAAAATCATGTTAATGGAAAAGCTGGCTTTTTTTGCCCAAGCTATTATTTTATTTTTTCTTATCATAATTTTTTGCACCATTTTTATCTTGAACATATTTTTCTTTGTTTCTTTCTGGACCTCTTCCCTTACTATATTTTCTGATATCACACATGTTCTGACCTTTTTGGTCCTATAAATGTTTAAGTACACGTTCGTCACACTAAATATGCTATTTGTGTCTTTCACCTGAAGCAATCTAAGAACATTCAATTAAAGTAGAGAATGCAGAATGCCTTTAGAGAAGGGGGAAGCCGGAGGAGGGAAAGGGGAAGCCGGAGGAGGGAAAGGGGGAGAAGTGGAAAGGGTAACGAGGAGCCTCCTTAAGCCCTCCCTTCAATTCTAAAAGAAATTAATAAAACTTACCGATTAGTCAACTTTCACTCTATGCTCTAAACTTTAGAGATACACTCACAGAACAACAAAAACCTCTTAGTTGACCCGTTTCGCACAGAACACGTAAGTGTATGAGCAGTGGCCTCTTTCTTACTGCACTTCCACTCGATCACACAACTCCTTTCGCTTGGCCAACCTCATCAGGATCACCACATTTGGCTTATTATAAGTATGTACTAAATTACGTACATTGCTCACTGCCCCTCCTCACCGAAAGATTCCCCTCATGAACCCCTAATAAGCCTTCCTCCCCTCCACAGTGGATTTCCACCTTGTTGTAGCAGTGTGAAGTACTGCTTTAAACATCTCTCTTACGTTGTACTGTGTTCTAGACTCCAGACGAACATTATGTGACATCTAATTTCCTTCCTGTAATTCTGTTGTTCATGATTCTGAATTTTCAAAAAGAAATTCCCATCCTGTGTGGCCAAAATGTAAGGTAGAAGATTCCTTTATCTCAACAAAATCTCTGCTGCGATCTTCATCCATTATCATGTTTCTTATCACTGAACTAAAATGGAATTCATTTAAGATTCTCTCAACAAGCTCCTTCAAAAATTTGGTCTTAATCACCCAGAAATTGTCCATATTTATAATTAGGTTTTGTAGATGCACTCAGTTTATTATCACCTTTACACCTTACTGTTACTTCATTGTTCAAGTTTCTCAACAGGGAAAAGGCAACGTAAAATCATTCATTCCAACCAACTAGCTTAATTTCCAAAAGCTAAACAAAACTGTATTTTTCAAAGGAGGTAATTAAGAAAATATCTCGTCAGTATGGTATTATTACAATTTAAGATGAAGACAAAATTTGGCGATTTCTTCTAATAAGTGAATTTATGTTTCATTAATAAACAGATTACAACTTTTACATTTGTTTCTTAAAACAAATTTAGAAAATTATCGGTGACAGGACATCTAGTCAACTGTCCTTAACATGGTTTTCAAAAATTACAAAACAAATTTTATCATTAAAATAGAGTAATGAAATTACCCAAAAATCAAAAACAATACTTTTCTAGAAAAATAAAATTATCAAGAAATTAATAATTAAGTGTTCTCTGATAACAAACTAATAATTATCTACTTCTTCGTTATCAATAGTTATTAAAATTAAAGCAAAAATATTCCAAGTACATAATATGAAATTTGATCTCACCTGTCATGTGCTTTCTATTCTGATTCCAAGCAACCTTCACTTCATCTGCTCGTTTGTACCTCTTCATTTGGCGGAGACGCATGTACTCTGATTTCACTCTTTTCTTCCATTCTGCTGATACTTTCACTTTACTTGACATTTTGAACTCTCTCAACCACCTTCAAAGCAAGAAAAAATACTACTTGGTAAAATCATATTTCTTTAGTGTCAAATTATGCGTTTATTAATATTCTGAAGAACAATATTTTTAACAATAGACATCTTAAAAAATATCTCACATCAACAAAAGCACACAATAAAATAACAAGAATTCTATTTTAGTATTTATACCACTGTTTCTATAACCAACTATTTCAAAACAAAGTTTCTTGAGTCTTAACGTCAATGAACTGCAATGATCGTTTTCAATTAGTATAATCCGACGGCATTTGCACAATATCATGAATAACCTTCGGTTTTGCAGAACGTTCTACCGTAAGTTTTGGTGCAAATGTTGAAACAATCCTCTGGTGCGATTAAACCACGAATTGTGGATGATCGTATTTATTAATCATATACAGAAAGAAATTGCAAGAGGCGTTGTTCAACGAAGAGCATCCTTCATTCCCTTGACATCACAAAGTGAAATCCATAAATGGTGAAAAACAACTAAAGGTTTGATACCTACGTAAAGAATTTGCAACAAATTTGTCTACAGTGCAGGTTTAATTGCAGATACCAACCAATATAAAAATGTAAAAACATCCAAATGAACGAGCGTAACGCCAAGTTCAATAACACATTTCAGTTATCAGTCAACAGAAAATAACTTCACATTGTTTCGTTTTTACAATTGCTCTTTTTCTCCCTACAATACTCACTGCACACTGCACTTAATGATCTTCAAAACATTCTTTATTCCATCCTTCTGAAATCGCTTTAATGAGCCCTCAATTGCCGTGCAATTGCCGTGTGTGCTGTGTGCGATGTCCTGCTGCCTGCAACAAAACGCTGCGATCAGTTGCAGCCACCGTGTTGCAGTGGTGCGATCGAATACGAATGCGACGGTCGTAAGAGCACTACACCACCATGGACGAATTTTGTTCCATGACACTCCTTTCCTCTATCGGATGACCAAAAAATGTTTTTAGAGCTTTTGAGCAATGTGGCCAGGTTAGGGGTTTTCCCCCTAAATTTAGGGTTTTATTTTGTCTGACGCTACAAAGGAGTAAAAATATGTCCGAGGAAACTCGCTCGTCAACGAATCCGAGCGGGGGACTCACCTCAGAAGGGGGAGCAAGAAACTAAATTATGTGGGGGTTATTTGCCGTATCATGATTAATAATGCGTTTTTGCTATTTATTTATCTATCTCATCTTTTCACGTGGGGAACTGTGGAAATCTTCAACAAGACGCTGAGGAGCCCACACTCCCCAACAGTGTGAGATTTGTACTCACTAAAACCACAAACCTTTTTGTAATCATACGATGCCTTAGCGTATTCCATCTCGAGCAGTGGAATAGCGTATGTTCGGCCTCTCTAGTTCATGGCTGCAGCAGAAGCATACTGCGTCTTCTGTCTTTCTGAATCTCTTCAGATATGCTTTCAAGCATCCATGCCCCATGCCCTATGAATGCCTGAGTTAAATGGTATGTCACGGGCCCATGTTTGCCCAAAATTGAAGACAGAGATTTTTTCTTAAAATACAATTTGTTCTCCATAGTGAGTTCTTTCACTATATATATATATAAAGTTTAGTAGTTTTTAAGCAATATTGCGCGCAACATTTCGAATTCGAACGGATAGTGCTAAATGTATTCCATAAGATGACATGACCACCATATTGATATACTCTTTTGTTTTTTCAAAAATTACAAAAATGTATTTTTTTACTTGTCTGTCATGTCGTTTATATTTATATTAGCGGCAATCTGTTCCCATTATTGTATTTATGAGTGCATGCGCTTTAAATAATGTAAAATAAAGTTTCTCAAAAATTCTATTGTATTCCGTGAAAACTAGCTCTAAAACTCATCATTTTCAGAAACGCTCAAACGCCGTTTTCTCAAAAACGGCTCCAAATTCTTTTTTCAAACGTTTCGAACGAATAGTGGCACTCTTTAATATGACGTAATGTTAATTTCGGGGTATTTGTTTTTCAAAAATTACACAAATGTAATTTTTTTTGAAAGACCTCTCACGTCGTTGATATGCACATTCCCTGCAATTTGTGAACACTATTGTATTTGTGAGTTAAAGTACTTAAAATGACTTCAAATTAAGATTTTCGAAAACTCAAAAATTTTCTGAGAAAAAGAGCTACATTTTTTTTAAATTTACAGTAGCGTTTAAACGCCAGTTTTTTATTTTTTTAAATTGCCAATTAGCACAAGGTTTAACTGTTCTTTAATAATCTTAAAATAATATTTCCACTATACAATTAGGAAACCGAATTAGGAAAATATCAACAAAAAAATGTACTTTGAGCGGCGATAGATGACAGCAGGCAAGAATATGTGGCAAGTTCGAATAGCTAACCGAGACCAAAGAAATAGAAAACTAATACGGGAAAGTCTGTGCTATTCTATAGCACAACTAGTTTAATTGCGCTATTCGTAACTAATCTTTTCTCTAATATTTTTGTCTGGGTTCTCAAAAATATTAGAGAAGTTTTTCTACACGCAAATGGAAACTTTTCTCAGGAAAAACGAGGCGTTTTCAGACTCACAACATGGTTTTAGAAAATCAAAATCTATGGAAACTGACATTTTTTTCTTTTCTTAAATATGTTGCTTCATCAATGGACCAAAATGAACCACCCATTCGAATATTTTTAGATCTTTCAAAAGCTTTTGACGTAATTCACCATAACATCTTGCTACCAAATTTACCTTCTTATGGAATTCGTGGTTTCGGCCTAGATTGGATAACCTCGTACCTTAAACATCGATCTCAAAGAGTAGAAATACCGTACTGGCACGAAAGGACATTATTTACTTATCTTTCCAATTCTTTACCAATTGAATATGGGGTCCCGCGAGGCCCGATCTTAGGTCCTACCCTCTTTCTGTTATACGCAAACGACATGCCCTCGTCTATTAAAAACGGAAGAACGTTTCTCTTTGCCAATGACACGAATGTTCTTTGCAAAAAATAAACAATAAATAATACGATTTTAGAAGTTTCAAATTGGTTTTGTAATAACAAATGAATAGTTAACGAAGAAAAAACCGTTTCAATGCTTTTTGCATTTCAAATCAGCAATCGCATGCTGGATTGAAAATGAACAATATGCAATTAGCTGATGTTCAGGCACCAAAATTTCTCTCAATTAGGTAGGTGATGTTCAGGTAACAAAATAGGTCTCTCAATTCAGTCAAACCTCAAATGGAATGTTCATATAACAAAATTAAACACTAAATTAAGTTAATTATGTTACGCATTCAGAATTCTTTCAAATTCTGTCAGCCTTGATGAAGCTCGTTGCGTGTATTTTGCAAATGTACATTCCTGCTTGAGATATGGCATACAATTCTGGGGAAACTCATCATGTAGTACTCAGACCTTTAGATTGCAAAATAAAATATTTCGCATAATGAAAAAATGCCATCCGCGTGATCCTTGCAACTGTCAACGGCAAACTGCCTCACGCTTTATAAAGCAATAATTAGACCGTAACTGGACTACGCATGCCCCAGTTGGGCAATTGCAGCAACTACTCATCTGAATAAACTGCAAGTAATTCAAAACCAATTTCTCAGGGCTGTCCTCTGCGCCCCCAGAAACACTCCTATCGAAAATATACATCGCGAATTATCAATGCCACTACTGATAGATCATATCAAAAATATTGTTAAAAAGATTTTTGAAAAAGCAGCTGACTCGGAAAACCCTCTCATTTCCGAGATTGCCTCATACCAATCCAATCAACGGGCCACGTATAGGCGTCCGAAACACTTCCTGGAGTAAGAGTAATCTGAAACAGAGAAATGAGACTTGAAACATAAACAGCATTTCCATACACGCAATGCGCGCCCCAGTAGGCTAAAGTCATTTTTTACCTTCTGTTTTTCTTCATGTTGCAGGATTGGCCATAGATGCCCGTAATGGTAGGAATGGTCTCACCGCGGTGGCGTGAACGTGCATTGCACTTTCCGTGCGTTCACAAAGAAGTCTTGGTCCCTGCAAGCCTGTCTTCAGTCTTCATTCAGCTTGGAATCTTACCACTGCCTTGCCTATATATTTACGAATTTGTAATATTTGTCAAAAAATGACTTACTTAAAGGTGGGAAGATATTTTCATGCAATACTGATATTTATAATTACAACACACGTCGTAAAAATTACGTTCAAGTGTCAATATCAAAAGCTCACTCTTAGGAATTCACATACAATACATGTACGTTACTTTACAACGCATTGCCGGATAACATTGAACAATTGAAGTCGTTTCACAAATTTAAGTTGAAAGTAAAATATTTTCTGCAGCATAATTGTTTCTATACAATTAGAGATTATATTGATTATCAAAATGAAAAATGTTAATTTTAACAAAACAGTGATATGTATTGAATTAGTTTACATTTGAATTGTATAATTTTTTAAAAGACTTAATATGTTTGTATCAAATAAAGTACTTCAGCTTCCGAGTCAATGATCCCATCTCGATCAGGTTTTTGTCCAGTTTCCCTTATCCATTGAGCAAATGTTGAGATGGTCCCGTTTTGCTTCTGGACGTAAATGTAGCTTCACTGTGCGCACGTTTTGTTGAACTCTCCTTTGGCTTGTAATGATAGGAGTAGAGGGAAGGGCGAGTTACTATTTTGTTAGCACTGCAGAAAAATCATACTTGCAATTCGTTTACCGATGCAAATGAGTTTTCTATAATTCGGGAACGAAAATGTATATTTTTTTCAAATAATGCTAAGCTCGCGATTTTTTAAAATTTATTTTTAATCATTTATTTTAAACTTTTACTCATCTTTCAACTATTTATAGTTAAAAAGCTGGGAAGGGATACTGGAACTCAAGAAAACGTGCGCAGATAATCTTCGCCCCCATACGTCGCATACAGTTTTTACTGTTTTTTGACTAAATAAATCTAATCTTTGTTACTTAAAATCGTATCTGAAAATTTGTAACATTGAACGCGATTTGACATGGCATTTCATAAACTTTATGAAATTATGTATAATGTATTACATAAAAATGTGGCGTACAGTATGTGAAAAATTCTTAAACTTTGCCAAAACCATGAAAAATTGGAAATGGTAAAAAGTGTATCTATTGTCATGTTTGATTTTTAGCAATGAAAGCAACGTTTGGAACAGAAAAGGATTAGCCGTTCTGTTGAATATGACTCGATCGTTGCATAATCATTGAAATTTAAATTCGGCAGAACATCTAAAGTAAATTAATTCAGTCTTAATTACTCTTCTAATTCACCGTAATGAGCCGCCACTCCACTGAACCAATGCAGCGCAATATCATGCGATAACGCAACCATTTCTATACTCTGCGTGCGACAGAGGCAGGTCAACCTTTCAATAATGTATTATGCTACTGCGCTATGCTACTCAACAACGCTCTCTTCAACTTTCAAACTTGTTTTGAACGTGACGTGAAGTTTAACGTAGAGAAATTAGCAATATTCCCCAAAGTTTGATCACTTTTTTTATAGTGACATTTTATATTTTTCCCATTATTTAATTTTTATTCACGGGAAGTTTCAAATTAGTCATTTCTTTATATTACTGGTGATCAGAAGTGAGGTTACCGGCGGGAAGTAATGCCTTGAGAACTCAAAATAAATTAATTAAATACAAATTTGTCTTTAACTTCTACTCTGTGACTAAATGGAGCGGATGATTTCATCCGTGAAACATACGTGTTTTGTTTTATTGGGTGTGGTTCTTTTTATTTTTTATAGAGGTGGTGAGTTCATTTTAGATTTGATGTTTTACTTGTGAATAATCTTCATTAATTAAATTTCAAGTTACAATTACTAAAGAGCTTTAATAAAAGTTGAGTAGTATTGGTAGAAGGAATCATCAATATTGTTCTCTTGATATGACAATGTAAATTTTAACTTTCAATAATCATTGTTTATTAGTACAACTTGTCTCCTATTTTTAGTTTCAATTTTAAACTGATATTAAATGACCAAGATGATGAAATGAAAGTTAAAACCAGTTCATTTTGAATGTTTTTAATTTCAAGTTCATTAGTTCTCAGATAGTTGGAATATTATTTTCCATCATGATTTCAATATTCTACAAAATAAATGTATGATTATTTTATTATATTTAAACATTCTGATTTAAAAGGTTCATTGACAATAATTTTTTCAGTAAGGTAATAGGATTATAATTTCTTTAGTCTATATAGTATATAGATAGGATATTTAGGTATTGGATAATTGTTTTGTATTAACTTCATTGTGAATCTGGGTATCATAAAGTTGAGGTATGGATGGATTGCATGATTTTTTGTTAATGTTTATTTGCAGAAAAACTATTAAAACCCATATTGAATGTGAAACAATTTCCAAGGGAAGTTTTACAATTTTTGAAATAAGAATGACCAAATTTATGAATATAGTAATTTACTAATTTGGTTGTTTTAAATTTGGTCTATACAAAGGACTGAGAAAAGAATAATAGTAGTTATGTGAATATAATGGTTAATAATCAAACACTTTGGGAGATGAACATGTAATGGTTTAATCATAAAGACAATGGAATGAGAAGAAATTGAAAATAATTTATTATTAGGGAATTAGGAACTGACAGAAATGGAGCTAGTGTGCAGAGTAATGGCCTGTGGATTAAGTCAGTTGGGTGAGAGAAGTTAATTTCCAGGACTTAATATTCTTCTAAGGCTTGTGCCAAAGGCAAAGTGTTGACAAAAGATGAGATTGTCTTTTATGTTAGAATTGCCCACGTTCTATTTTGTATGTTCTCGAAGATATAAGCTTCTTTCTACAATATGCCCATGTTGCATATTTTGAAGATTCTTTTACACTTTTGAATATTTGCATGCATATTCAGATCCAGACGTTTGCATAAACGTGTCAGAGCTAATAATGAAATGGCATAAATGTTACTTATATAGATTGAATAAATCAAATTTGGGACCAACTGAAGGAAACAAAATAAACATATTTTCTGAAAGTGTGTTTAATTTGTAACATTTTCTTTTTAAGAAGTTGGTGGTTGCTGGTATGGCTTTCTCTAATTCAATGGAAAATTATCACTTAATCTTTATGTCCAAATGAATGATTTTTATGCCTATCTAATGATCATATTTAAGATTGACTTGCAGTTGTTTCTGCTAAGAATTGACTAATTGATTTGAAGAATGATTTCTATGAAGATTTCTTTTTTGTTGTTGTTGTCTTAAAAATAATGTGTTATTGTATTTAATATACCCATCCAACAGGTTCTTTGTATAATTTTCCAGCCTCCCCAAAACAAAGCAAGTTTCTTGTCATAGGAATATTATCAGCCCCCGATCACTTTGAGCTGAGAGAAGCTGCACGGAAGACATGGATACAGAATATTGGAAGTGATGCTTTGTACTATTTTCTAATAGGAAAACACATGTGTCCTGTGCCACTAGAAGACAGAATTGACGAATTTTCATGCAAAGAGTCTGCAATTTTCTTTCCAGCGGGTAAGGGATTATTTCTCCTACAGGCCCTCAATCTAATCAAATGTTTCAGCACTAAAAACTTGCTTTGAAGTCTCAGAATACCAAAGTTAAAATACCTGGTAGATTGAAAAGAATAGTACATTAAATGAAGAATAAATTAATAAAAGGTTAAGGCATACAAATTTTATTTTTTAAATTGTTAATAAGAAAAATCAAGAAATGAGTCATAATGGTTTATAAGAATTGTCAATTTCAGTCTTCAGCTCCAGTGTAATCTAAACAATTAATTTCAAAGATGTGTTAAATATCCACTCTTCACAAGATTAATACTACTAGGGATGGCATGGATTTATTTCTAATAAATAAACCTTAAGATACATACTATTTGTACTTTTAAACTTTCATCTCATTCATCTTTATTTTAATCTTCTTTTCAAATATCACATTAGTTTCAAATATTGTATAAAAAATTATCTAATTAATAACAAATTGAAAGGTGAAAAAAGGAGTGCCAAATTGCAAGAATTGTGTTTTAATGTGTCGTGCTAACATAACATTCTACCATTACATGCACTGACACAAAGAAATATGTAGAGAATGAGTTGCAGAAAAATTTATATAAGTAATGACGAATACCGTCTTGTCATTGTTTAATTACAAAACATTGCTGAAACTAAATATTTGCTATTGATTTTCTAATGTCTGGTTGCATGCTGTATAAGGGAGAGCTTCCAGACATTCTATACAATCTTAGGTGTATTTGAATGTACAATCATTAATGTGAATAGATTTTCAGTGTTAACCAAACTAGGTTGTGTACCAGAACACAGGCTTCTTTGTAAGTAGAGAAAAAAGGATAGAAACCAAATGTAACAGTTGGTAAGACACAAGCTGAACAATACATGTGTCTTTTCTGTCATTATAATACATTAATTAAGATTGGCGAATATGATGACTCTACTTACAATTGTAGGTTCCTGCCTGGTAGTGGATGGAAATATGTAAAGGTCCCTCATCAATTTCTTTTTTCCCTGCATCCCCTTTTTTTCATATTTTATGCTGTTATTTTGTTTTTTTCAGTACATTTTTGAAAGATTACTAGCCAAAATTGATAAACTCAAAATGTTATCTTCTCCCTATTATCAAAGTTAATAGTAATAATTCAATTTCAGGCAATGAAGTTTTACTTCAGTCTGGGAATGTCACATGTTATGGTGAAAAGATGGATGTGCCAATATATCCTAGTTATTCATTTACTGTTGAACATGATATAGTCATTCAGCGTTTAGGAATATTAAATGAATTCTCTAAGCAAACTGTCAGAGTAAATCTTATTGAAGCCGCAACTGGGCTAAAGTTAACATCAGCAACATTTTCTCCTGACAAGACATCCAATTTCTCAAGTATTCTTTGGAAACCTGTAGAGCGCTATAGATTACCTAAAGGATTTGAAGGGCGAATCACTTTGGAAACCAATGCTCACTCAAGAGACTGGCAGAGCAATTGTGGATTTAACTGGAATGCCTCTGGAAATGTCCTTGCATACCATCTTGTGTGGTCTTCCCAAGGGCAAATGGTTCGAAACTTTCAGAACTCCCTCTCAGCTGTGGTGGTTGGTTTTGAATTGGCAGGTCAGTTGTGTCCCTTTTAGGGTAAAATACCCAAGGAAAATTGTCATAGAGAAAAAATGCCCAAAGTTAAAAATTGTGAAGGTAAATAATAATAATAATAATAATAATAATAATAATAATAATAATAATAATAATTTATTTGTCACTGTAGCACAAGGTGTATATGACTAATCTAGATACTCTTTCCTCTATGGTACTTCCTATATATCCAAATAAGAAATGTGGTAATACAATACAGAAGTTATTAAAAAATTGGCAAAATATAAAATAATATAACACAACAAAGTAATTTTTTTTAAATTGGCAGTGCAATCTAAATATTATTTTCAAATGAGCATGAAGTTTGGGCTAAGTACATCCAGTTTGCTCAGCGATCATTTTTGGGATGTCAAACACACAACAGAGTACACATAAACATGGAACAAAGGAAAATCAATATAGTCCAAGTTAGAAAAACTACTTGTATATATACTTATGTAAGTATAATTGTTACTACAGAAATTGAAGAATAAGTGCAGAAGGGTCATAAAAATGTAAGGCAGCCTGTAAACAAACATTATGTCAGAAATTATTCACATTAATAACAATAATTAATTATATGGAATTATTTCCTGTATAAAGTTGACAAAGGAGCAATACTTCTGTGCCAAATACTGTAATATTGGATTAAAAGAAGAAATTAATTTCAAGTATTAGACCATACACTTTTTTTAATGGAATTGGCAATTCACATTTACATTTGACATTTTGTCAAGATATTTTTGGACACTGTTCTCATTGACATTCTGTCATGGAAAATACAACATTAAAGCAATTGTGTCCAAATGAAAACCAACTTTTCAACACAATTGCTTGTCTTAAAAATACGAAGTAATAGAATGCCAGGGCCAGACTAGTTATCAAACAATTCAGGCTAAACTTGTACAAGGAAGGCAAGTATTCTTCATATCCTTTTGCCCTTGTGTAAAAGTTTTCTCATACATAATAAAATATTTAAAAGAAATTTTGAGAAGTAGTGATGTTTATATTTTAATTATAATGTGATCAAGGGAAATAAAGAAATTAAAACAGCATGAATCTTTTTTTAATACTATTTCTTACTGGTGGATACCTAATTACTTCATTTGAAGGACGTTATTGCCAAAATTTATTAAATTAATTTTGAAGTCTTAAATTTTCACTATTATATATATATATTTTTTTTTTTTGAATCTTAATTTTTTTAAATCTGAAATGTTTGTGAGAAGGTAGGATTCTGATTCGGCAAGGACAAAATTTTGACACTAGTCTAATTCCAATGTATTTGTTCTTCATAATATCACTGATATCAGTTTGGATAATTAGTTACGATTAGATTTCCTACAGAATTTTTAAAAAATAATGCAGTATTCAATAACACATTAGCATAACTTTTTGGGGTGGATTTAAATTAAAGTTTAAGTATGAGGAGATAGTGTTGTGATGGTCATATTTTACAGAAATTTTTCGCAGATTTTATTAATGTTCCAGATAGTGATAATCTGACTACTTTCCTGAGACAAAAATCTCAGAGGAAAAACCAATGGGCCAAACAGATTGAATTCATAAACCAAAAATTAAATGAAGAGTCCTCAAGATCACATGATATTTTGTACCTGGATGTAGTAGATGTGTACAGATTGCTTCCAAAGAAAATGCTTAATTTCTACAAATGGTATGTTTACAACAAAAGCAGTGTTTTTGAAAACTATAATGAACATCACCTGATTTTTCAGTGTACATTTTACCTAAAATAATGCTGCAATCTTAAAAATATTTTTCAGGGCTGACCAAAACATATACTTTTCGTATCTGCTCAAAACAGATGATGACACCTATATTAATATTCCAGAAGTAATGAAAGAACTCTATTCACAATCCACAAAGAACAGAGAATTTCCTGATCAAATTTGGTGGTGGAGTGCTTTTCGTCAAGGCTGGCCTGTACAGCTGTCAGGCAAATGGCGAGAAGGATCTTATCACTCTGTAACGTATCCTCCGTTTCCTTGTGGAGCAGGATATGTGTTAAGTCATGGTGCTGTAAATTTCCTCAGTAAAATTGCAGATACACTTTATACAAAATTTCAAGGAGAAGATGCAGCTCTTGGAATATGGTTAGCTGGTACTAACCCTCAGAGTACACTCAATCGAACAGCTTGTTTTTGGACATGTGATAGCTCACAAGATAAATATTCTTGTAATTATCCACAACTCTCTGTTCAGCAAATGCTGCAGACACATCAACAAATTCAAAGTAATTTTTTTGATCAGTAGTGAGTCATAACAAGGGTTGGAAAAATCTGTTTTAAAAAAAACAACAAAAAACCAGTGGGTATTTTTATTTTAAAGAATGTTTTATCCCTGGAGGAGCCAGAGTATCATCCCCACTGGATCATGAAATTCAGTGCTGACCTACATCTCAGCTTAAGAGGAAATTTCCCTAACCAGCCTTCCTCCAGCACGGTACCACCGAGCCAGGATAAGTTCTAAGCTCCCAACTGGTCTCCCAATGTGAGACAGTAGAACATATTAGGGGATAAGACAGGTCAAGGATGAGGAAGGTAAGATTACTCGCTGTTCATGGCCCATGTATTAGGTACTTTCCTAGAATATGCCTGATAATGATTCGAGAAACCATGGTAGACTATCGATCAGCTGGCTCCTAGAATCCTTCTCCAGATAGTGGTTGAATTGAACTTAGATATGCAGCTAATGTAAAAAATCTGCCACCATTGGGACTCAAACTTAGGATTTCTCAGTCAAAGTCCCAGTCCTGCAAGACAAGATTAACGTTGGTTCTGACTTTACTCACTCGGTTTTATTTTGTGTTTGTTCTGATGAAATTAAAGAAGTCGATACTAGCAAGATGAATGATGAAGTATGAATTTTATGGTCAGTTTACTTTGTATTGTAGTTTTGTTGTTTTTCATACTTGTGTGTAGTAATTGAATTTTAGTTTTTAATGGATATTTCGAAACATAAAATTTTATGTTTTGTTATTTTTTAAACAATAAAATAAATCATTAAAACTTTTCAGTGTTTTTCAAGTTTTTTTTACATGTTGTTAACTTGGGTGGTTTAATTTAGGCTGGGCAAAATTTACCCAACCACCTAGCCTAGCCTTTGTTACTTGCTGGACAATAAGAAGTACTTCTCACTTTATCTAGTCTCAAGTATTTTGAGCACTCTGTGCAAAAAAACACACAATCTGTATTTTTTTGTCACATTGCTCTCTAAAAATTCGTACAACACTAAACTTAGACTAATCTTCTGTTATGCTAGTTGGTCAATGAGATCAGATCCATCACTTGGAGGTTTGAAAACTAGCAAATACAGATTTATTGTCAGTTTACTGTATTTGGTACTTGTATTTTTTTTTATTCTTCTTTGAGTTTGTTGTGACAATTAAAATTTTTAATGGATATTTTGATTCATAAAATTGTTTGTTTTGTTATATTATTTGAAACAATTCAAGACTCATTAAAACATTTAAGTAAGTTTTGTAGTTGTTTTTATGTAGAAACAAAAATATTGAGAAGTAAGCACTAGCATGTATTACCTAAAATTAAAATAAAAAATACTTTTTAAATAATATTTTTCTCCACATTTACTTTGCAATTAAATACAAGCACCACAATACAAGTATGTCTGCGAATGTGACTGCCTAATCAGAACACGTGTCAAGTATGGGCAAAGTGTGCTACAGTTTGCTCGTACTGACTTTAGGCAAGTTAGGTAGACCCTGCCTTGAACAAGAACTAGATTGAATTCATTACACATAAGAAAATTTTATTCTTACAGTTTTTATAAGTATTTTTCATCTGAAAAAATAACATGAATGTTTCATTTTCATGACACAAGCTCATTCTAAGTTCAAGCATTTCATAACATATGCCTACGATGTCAGTGCCATATCCTCTGGCCTCTAAGTAGGCCTCAGTGTTCAGTACGAGCAAACTGTAGCACACTTTGCCCATACTTGACACGTTTTCTGTTTAGGCAGTCAAATTCACAGACATACTTGTATTGTGGTGCTTGTATTTAATTGCAAAGTAAATGTGGAGAAAAATATTATTTAAAAAGTATTTTTTATTTTAATTTTAGGTAATACATGTTAGTGCTTACTTCTCAATATTTTTAGATTTAAATCTGTTTTTATGATAATATGATATAATTTATAAAGTGAGTGAACTACTACACACACATTTTTCTTGACTAAACAATGTAGGTATTCGACAAATTTTGGACCATTGTCGATCTACTCTTACATTGAGTTTGTCGTAATTTATGCTTGCAAGAAAAATGTAAATGATTATTCTCTAATGGGGTGAATATAGCAAGTATTCTAGGAAAACCAATAGCAGTTATCTTGCCCAAATGTTTTACAGAAAAGTGATAATACTCTTATAGAAGGTTAAATACTTCTTGAAATAACATCTGCTCATGGTCATGCATAGGTACACTTCCTTGAACTGTGAGAGATCAATTGTTGACGCTTGTTTTGAACACGTAACCAGTGAGGGGGAGATGGGCATGGCTGAGGCTGTTGTTCTATTTTGCCTACAATGAACCATAGTTCATAAGAAGCCACTGAATGACTTTACCTTTCCAAATTTTTCCAAAAAAGAAAAGTTTAATTGAATTATGAGACAAGATGATAAAATTACTTTGATGATATTCAATACTCTCTGACTCAAACACATTGTTAAAACTGTCGCTACTTTTTCTGATACTTGATTTTTTTTATTTATAAAATCAAATAACTTCAAACATTTTGAAAATAATCATAAAAAATACAAATTTGTAATAAAATAAACATTCTTCAAAAAGTTTCCAAATTTTTCTTCTTTCTCCTACCTACTATATATTTTCAATAAACCATGAATGACATACTTACGAATGAAATTAAATTAAATTGAGTTGAAAGATATGCTAAATGTTCCCTAATTTTGTGATATCATAGAAGTCAAAACAAACATTTGTTAAATGTCACCAGTGTTTGGTAGTGGTGAATTTGAGGGGTAAATGATGCGAGATTAATGTTTAATTATTGATGGGGAATTGGTTTAAATCCAATATGTTGTGAGTGGAAATAACAGACTATTGCGCTTCAGCATGATGACAACAGCCATGCCTTTCACAAGACAAACCCACTGCCTTTGTCTTTTCCTGGAAATGTCATCACCATAAATCTGACAGTCAGAAACCACTTTGCAAATAAGTATATGGAAGTGAAAACACCAAATATACACCCAGGATACAAGTAGAAACTGAAAGTAACCAATGATGTGCTCCACAAAAGATGCCACTTTGTTTCAAATGTGAACTACTGCTACTAATGAATTATGACATGTTATTTACTCTTGAAGTCCCCAGCAAATGAATAAACCATACAAAATTAAAAGAGACACCTCTGTTTGAAATGAAGTTCTGAAAATTTTATTTAAGATTTTACGTTTAAATTTGAAGGCAAATAGAAACATTGACAACAGCTCATTAGAGAATGTAAAACAAAACAATATCAAAATAACACATCAAAGAAGTTCATAAAGAAAGGTAGAGCTTGTCACAATGTTGTTTTGTACACAAACTGTTACTATGAAATTATGAAACATCTGAAGGGGTGAGATAATTTGTTTTTTCTGATCAAGGAGAAAAATAGCCAAAGCATTACAAGTAACAGTGGAACACATTTAATATATATAAAAAAATAAAATAGATGGAGATGGTGGCACACTTAGGTTTCAATAAAGCAGTACTTTTTTACTTGTTGCTATTTAAAATCTTTTAGGTAAATTTAGTTCCAAGTGTATTTATTTGTTATAACTTTCTCTAATAAGGCAAATTGCAATGGCTAGCTAACAAATATGAAAATATTGCTACATTATATACAATTTATAAATGGCTCGTATAACCCAGTGTTTTTCCATATTAGCCTGGATCCCAGAGATTACTTTTAGAACCCAGAGACTTCGGGTCAATCTCGAAGAGGTGGCTACCCTACCCAACTAGGAATTCTACTCTCAAAGAAAAATATATACTTTTTATTATAACATAAAAGAACCCAAAACTCAAAATTATTTTAAAATTATATTTATGAGTTACTAAAACTCAGTCCATATTTGATTTTTCTCTTATTCAAAGTACAATGCAATATGGTAATGTGCAATAAACAACTGTTCCACCAAGCTATACGCACTTCCGAGCTATACATGGCATTTAGATTCAATCAAATTATTGCTGTTATAGTATTACAGTGCTTTTCACTAAGCAGTGCTCTTCTCCCTTCTGCAATAATAGCAGTTGGAAATGCTCACGAAGATTATCCAGACCTTTGCTTCATATCTCACTTCACTAGGATGAAAATATGAACTCTTGGGCATCTAGGCCTAGGCTGCTCCTTCAGTAGTAACATTCCAAGGAAATTTGCATAACAATATAAATATATTTTTCTTTACTACTGTATTAACCTCAATATAAGATGACCTAATTTTGAACAGGCCTCCTGCAAATTTTTCAAAAACAAACAACTAATTCTTACATTTTAGTCCAAATAAAATTGCAAATTGACTAGAATATTATATTTTTGATGAGTGTGTTAAAACTTGGTATTGCCTGACCTATTTGTATTTTCTTCCTCCTTAAAATCATCTTATTCATGATTTTTGTCTCTATTCTCATTGTCGCATTTCTTCTTTTTTGGTCCTCCTGGACTGCATCATCCTCCACCTTTTTATGAACTCTCTGAACTGAAAGTTCAAACTGAAAGTTTTGAGCTTTGAGTTTGCATTTGCCTTTCTAGTGACACTTAAATAGATTCCCATTTGAATCACAAAACGTTCTTCCTGTCATGCTTTCTTACTGACCTCTGATTCTGTAACAGATTGTTCTTGTAATTTGCATTGTTTAATGTTCACGAGATTGAGTTGTGAAAAACCGAACTTGTACATCATCATTCTGAGAGTAATAAGCTTCCAAGCTCAAGAAGCTTTTTCTAAAGATATATTTTCTGTCATTCTGACAATGGTGTTGGGTGAATTATATATACACATTTTCTTGAGCACCAGAATACCTTCTTCCACTCCTTTGCCGACATTAGATGACTCAAGAATAAATTATAGAAACAAGTGTTGTAGACAAAATCTAATAACCAGAAATGTTTGCTCCCATGTAATAGAAACTATTTTGCATCAAAAAACGAACTACAAATTTGGTATAAATATTTTATTTCATAAAAGCCCTCTTTTACAATATTCAGCAGTGTAAATACAACATTATCACAGTGTTAAAAAAAACCAACAACTATGAATGATTGACTAGTGATCTGCAGACTAGATACAAATTACTTTCCAAAAATGAGCAGTTATAACAATTATTGTAGAAATATTTCACTTTACCAAAATATTGACATTTCAGCAAAACATGGATGGAATGCTTATTTGAATTATTAGCAGTCAAGAAGCAATCTTGAACCACCTGGGGACAGATTCAGAAACACAAGTTTGTGACAAGGCACCTTAATTAAAATAATCTCATAATTGGGTCAATCTAGACCTTCAGTCAAATGAGATGTATCACCTATACAGCTGCAATTTTCTGGCATTAAATCAATATTTTCAAAAATTAAATATATTTGTTGGATGAATTTATGTTAATTCAACAAAAAGGCAAAACCTTAATATTTTCTGAACTGTTGTAGGCGAAAATTTCTCAGTAACAAGTAATAAAATGTTTGCACCACTAGCATTTAAAAGTACTTTTTATTCTCCCTTATACTACACAGAGTATAGAAAAAGTTATGTGATGTTATAAAACGAGCTTGATAATGAAATTCTGAGAAAAGATGCATTTTGGGGGTTCCTTGACTCTGTAAAAATTATTTCTAATCCCTTCAAATTGCTGAACTCAAAGCCTTGCACGTTTGAAATGGATTTTTGATTTTTCAGAGTACTTTAAATAACACCCAAATGATAGGACAAATCAAAATTTCTTGAAAATGGCCGCAAATGTTTTTAAAAAAATTGTTGATGAAGTTTTGAATAGAGCTAAGTAAGCTTGTAAATACAGTTTACATCTCATTTTTCTTAAAACCTCTAAATTTTTTAAAATTTTCCCCATAATGTACTGCATAAATCACAGAAATGAGCATATGTTCATGGCACAGGGTATACTCAAGTAATAATGAATATTACCAACGTGCTTAAAAGTGCCCTATAAGATTGGACTAAATTTTAAAAGTTAATTTTACATAGAACAAATTGATTTAAGAAGATTGTGAGAGAAAATTAACGAATATTTATTAAAATTTCAAAATTCCATCTACAGAGAGAGATTATCGCTTGTTCTTGAACATCTTCAAATAAAAAAAATAAGAAACACAACATAATAATATATTATGTAATATTATTATATGATTAGAATCATATAATAATATTTGTTTAGCGGGAGTCTGGCCTTGAACTCATTTAGAAATGGACACATACAACTATTCAATAACTACCTCCTTGGAATTTTTGCTCTAAGAAATGACAACATACCACCTTCATATTGTAGCGTCACGGCTTGGCAGCAGCCGAGTGCAAGGTAGAGGGCTGGGGGATCTAAAGATAGACGCCCAAACAAAGACGGGACTTTCCCGACAGGAAATGGTCCGCGGGCCAGGCAGCGCCAGGGAAAGGCTTTCCACCGCGCGGGGGTGGGGAGTAGTGACGTAGGAGGTCAGGTGACCTGGACCTATAAAGACGCCGTGGCGAGACGGCGCGGGTGGGTAACGATTTTGGTTTCCTCGTGGCTAGACCACAAAAACTTTGTCCGCCCAGGCTGGTGCGGAGTGCCGAGGGCACGTGGGTGTTCGACGAGTTCGGACAGGGTGATGTGTTCTTCAAACACATTCGGGCAGATCGTCAATCTGCCGGGGCACACCAGGTGCCTATCTGCGACGCGGCCTTGCAGGCTGGTCGTAGGCGTCGCCGCAAGGCGCACGTAGGGAGAGGAGGGCTGCAGTGGTAGCTCTGGCAAACCGCCTTAGAGTGAGGGATGTAAATATGTACAGTGTGTAAATAAAACTTGTATATACTCACTCGTGTCTGTTTCCTTGTGGTGTAGATCCCTACACACGACGTTACAATATTAACTCTCATCTTTAAATAATGCATGTACTGTAATACTCTACAATAATAAAATCTAGTTCTTTTATCTTTTGTAGAACTTCTTCAAACAAACAAAAGAATTAACCTTAATTGATCTTAGAACATTTTGACGTAAAAAATGCTTATTCTCTAGAATAAACACAATTAGACTTTCATAGTCACATTTCAAATGTGGGGAAAAACAAAATAACATTAACTATATTTTAAAAATAAAAGTAAAGTTAATATAATTTGCACTCAAAACAAATATTCTTTTTGAAATATATAAGGTATATGCATTTAATTTTACATCATCAAAATAAAAATAAGCCTAGCAACAAACCCAAATTACAGATTATAATTATGATCATTGTCTAGCTCTCTTTGTCTAAGATGGTATTCCCATATTTTATCATCTCATGTGGGTTAAAAGATACTACAAATGACTGTCCAAGAGATTAGTGAGGAAGCTTTCTATGGCTTCTGACCTCTTCCTTAAACCTTCAGCACAGACAGACATATTGCCAAGACACTGCTCCAAATTGCCAAGAATCTGAAAATATATGTTACATTAATGAGATACACATGTCTAAACATCTACCAATTTCAGCACTTCTTATCTCACCTGTGAGTCTGAAGGTATTAGAGAATCCCTTAACACACACTGTTCACACCTATAAAGAGAACATTTTTTGTTGTATTATTTCAAAATCACAAATAACAGGACACAGAAAGTTCTCCCCCAATCCAATATATATATATATATATATATATATATATATATATAGATAGTGGCATCAGCGGTTACCGGTTACCACCACACACTATTTCGTAACAATGCTCTGTCAAGATACCAGGGTGAAATTACACCGTCTCTCACTTTTGTGACCAATTACGAACCATTAAAATTAATTCAGAAGTGTATTTTTTACAATTTATATAAATTGTACTCATTTTGCTTTTTATATGTATGTACTAAGTTATGCATCTTGCTCACCACCCCTCCCCTATGACAGGTTCCCCTCATAATCCCCTTGTCTCCTTCACACCGTGGATTTCCCCTCACCAGAGTGGTGTGAAGTGCCGGTTTAAATGACTTCCTTAAGTTGTATTGTGTATTAGACTTCAACCAATAAGATAACATATGAATACTACATAAGTATATCTCAGCAATGGGAGAGAAAATATTGAATTTTTTATATCTTGATATATTTTGAATAGCTCCTTAAGGCAGTATTTTTTAGCAAAAAATAGACAAACCTCAACAACTGATGATTTGGTGTTTTTTTCCAGTGATAGCAAATGTGAATGTCATCAACACAGCATCTCTGCATAATCTTCTTGAGACAACAAGGTCGTTGATCATTCACTTTTTCCCAGTTACCTTCCTTTTGGTTACTTTTAATGCTACTTGACTTTAAATAATGGTCATTTTTCCTAAAGCTTTGTTGCTCTCTGCATAGAGAAACAACACTGCTCCTGTCATCGGCTTTTGCTTCTACAGCTCTTCCAGGATTGATGGCAATGCTTTTGTAGGAAGTGGGTGTCTCCAAATACATCTGGTTTGCAACTCTTGTTGGCTTAAAGGAGCACTTCTCATCAAAAGAACATTGCTGGGAACAAATAGAAGACAAGGAATCTTCACTTAGATACAAATTTTTTGAAACACTACTGCCCTGTGGTAGTGCGGTATTATTCAAGCGTTCCAAATCAAGAGGGGGCACACACAAGACCTCCATAGGATCATTATTCATTTCATCTTTAACTGATTCCACAGAGGATTTTCCTTCCAAAATAGGGCAATCTTGGATGTTATTTAAAGTCCAACAATAGCACTTCTCCATCGGAGGGAAACACAAATTCTCTCCCTCAGCTACAACCACATTATGATCCTCAAGAGGCTGATCTCTCGTGTTGCAATTTTTCATCCACAACTGCTCAGATGATCCTCCCACTTTCTCATCTTCATTTTTGTCAATGCAGACGGTTGGAGCACAGTCCAGTAGCTGATTAGAAATGCTTCCACTGCTTCCCAGGCTCCCGTAGCAGCTGGGCACAGGTAGCAGTTGCCAGGGCAGAGAAGAGAACCAAGAGGAAACCTACACAAGTTTTGATCACTCACTCACAATACAAACGCAACAGGAAATGATTTAACTCAATTCTTCATCTACCACCAATTACATAATAATATACAAACAATAAAATAAATATTGTAATAAATAGTGTAACTCAAACGTCATGATCAAATGCCTATCAATGAAGTGAAGTGCAGTTCAGTCAATTTTAAACTTCTTAAGAGAGCTGACACTGCACTAAAAACCAACTTGGCCATATTTATGAAAAAAGGCCTATGACAACAGTAAACAACTAAATTAAATATCTAGAAATAAAAGTGAAGCAATTCAGTGAGATGGGGATCATCCTCCCAAATACACATTACAAAATGTGTCCCAAACTACAAAATTTGCTATTTCTAATAGAATATAAAGATGAACAATTAATGTGATATTTTTGAATGCATGAACATGATTATTTCATTAGTAGAACACAAAAAGAATGTGGTTTTTATTTTTGACAGCATTATCTGGAAGTGGATAAGAAGTTTGACAGAAGTATTTTTTTATCCAATATGTTTTAAAAAATTCATTCTCTCTCGATGAAGAATGAACATAAAGAAATAGAAAGGACTGTTGGTGGCATGCTGTTCATATTATGATTAAATAAATGTTAAGCACTGTGTCTATGGATATCTGTAAAACATAAAACCCTTTCGTACACTCAAGTTTCTTTATATAACAACTGCTCATTCAAAATTAGAAAGCTAAAAGAAACCAGTATTACAAATAGAGGACTAGAAATTACTCATTTAGGATACCAAGAATTTCCTGGGACAAATTTTCTCACAATTTTTCCAGAACAAAATTTTATTTTTCCCAATTTTCTATTTCACAGCCTTTATGCACTCTCCAATCCCAAAACAAATTCAATAAACATTTCATATTATTTTGTTCTTTTATTTACTACAATACTTTAAGTGAAAACCGATTAAAATTCCTCTGTTTACTTTTTTAATAATCGACAAGCAGTTTTTCTATTTTAATAAAAAAAATAGTTGGTGACGATGGAGTGTTTCTTTTTGTCATAGGAAACAAAACTTCTAGAATATTCCAATTATTTTAAAGAATTGCCTATGCTGGTTGTATTATTCAATAATATTTTTAAAATAAATTTATTTATTATGATACACTTGCTGCCATTGAAATAGTTGTGTTTTTTTTTCTAATTTATTATACAATTAGTCTGAACTGCATTAGTTTCAACTTACTGTTCATTCAGAAATCATTTTAAAAATTTGGAACAATTATTGGGAAGCCCTTTTTTACCTTCAGTGCAGCCATATCAGGAGAATATGAAGTGTTATTTTCCTCTGATAAACCATTGCTCCTTTTTGCTTCAACATCCAATTTAAAATTATCTGTATCTGTAACTTCAGTATTTTGACCAATTTTATTGTTTTCCTTTTGCCCCTTTTCATCTTTAATTATACTCAAAGTACATTTATTTGGGCTACTAATCTGATTATCAGATTCATGAACAACTTTGTCAAGTACAATAAGTTGATCAGTTTTGTAAGGATCAACCAAAGAAGTTTCTGGGTATGGTTTTAACTGAGATTGTGTCTGAACAGACTTGGCTGCCTGTTCAGGGGTGGCAGAAGTAAATCGTAGTTGATCCAGTTTATTCTTGGCTTCTCCGTATTGAAGTAAAAGTGAATGATAGTTTGCTTGAACTTCCTGTAGCAATAAGTCTCTTTCTTCTAGGTAGCTTTGCAATTTCTCTACTTCCTGTTGCAATTGGATGACAACTGAATCTTCTTTGGGAGGTGGAACATTTACTTCAGACTCCTCTTGATGTTCATTTGCTTCAACTCTTTCCCTTTTTAACTGTTTGATGTAATGTTTTACTTTGCTTTCAACATGATCATAAGCATGACTTCGCTGCTTCAAAGTAATAGAACTTAAAGAGCGTGTTAATATTGATCGTTTTGAGTCTAGATGAGCATTAAGTTGAGGGTGACTTGCAAATCGAGGCATGTCATTACGAAGAGAATTCTCATACAAACTGCACATTGAAGATGATCTTACACCACTGTGAACAATCACGCTGTTGTTCTTAACAGAAGTACTCTCTAAGAAAATATCAGTTTTTGAACATTTTGTAAAGGTTCCCTCAGTAAATAAGTTTGCGTTTGCACTACTGTCACTACAGGAACTTACGATAGTTTCTGGTGGATCTGCAATTGGGGACGTTAAGGGTATAACGGTTATCGGCAATTTTATTTCGCCCGAAGTTCTGAAGTGTTCAAAAGATGACAACTGGTGTCCTGAAACGCATTCTACCTCCACATCACGTTGACTGGAATTTGTCGCACTGACTGTGTAATTGGAACTGGAGGTGGACAAACTGAAACTAATTAGGTTAGGCTCGGTATTTTCCAACATGTCCTCGTCAGCTGACAAATCATCTTGCCGATTTTCCACTGATTTGCAAGGTGTCAACATAATAAAGGTGTAAATACTTTAGGTGTTCTTTATTAAACCCGTAAAATTAACATTCTTTTAGTCTTCGAGTAAGTCAATCAAATAACAATCTTTATACCTACAGATTTCTTCCTTAATCCCACATATACAAATAATGTTTAACTTGAACGCATATGGGATTGTATGCACATGTAACATCCTTATCCTAAAATGCTTTCGTACACATCATGTTATAACAACAAATCTGAGCATCTTCGTTTGACATTGACAGCTCCATCAAACCCGGGGACAAGCTGGCTCAGCTGGAAGCACTACGGCGCTAGTGTCACCTCTGGTGTCACCCGGGTGCAGCTGCAGCATAGGCTCGCCAACTTCCGCATATAAAAATTGGCTAATTTGTGAGAAATCTGAATTGTGTTCTAAATTTTCAATTAGGCATAATATATACATATAAGAAACCTCTGAAGAAAACGCGAACATACACGCTATCTTTTATAACATTACGCACCTGCTTGCGTTTCGCAAATCCAAGCACGATTTAAGAATCGTTGGCACCTGGTGCTGAGAGAACGCCACTATACAGAGTTCTCTCAGAGAACACCAAATGCTTTCGAAACGTGACGCTAGAGTACGCCGCCATATTGCCGAGCGTATCTCTGTCTCTCCCTTACATATTGGAATATCGGTATTGGGGCGTGAGCGTAGCCCGAAATTTCGCTCGGGGAATACGAATGATTAATAATAAAGCACAAGTAGTATAGAAACTAATAAATGTTAGGAATTTAAATTGGATGGCATTAAAATTAAATTTCTCAAGGTTTCTATCATTAACATGAACGGATTAAAAACAAATTAAGTTTTCTTAAAATGCCTGAATACTATTTATAATGAAACACACATTAAACTCGCTTCCTAAATTTCAACTAACAATCAAATTTGTCTTTGCTCTTCAATTTTGTACTCTCTCAAGGACATAATAAATTACATTTCTACATCTCTTACCCAAACTTGAAAATAATAGCAATATTCTGGACTGCATTATCTACAAATGTCAATAAAACAAAATGCTAGTTCATAATATTTAATATCGCACATTCAAAAATGTGACAAGCTTATTAATTTTTGTCTTACAGAGCTTCTCTTCCCATGTTCATTTCTTGTGGTAGCCCTCGATACTGTTCTTAATCGAATGGTGGTATACACTCTTACAATTTCTTTTAGCAATTTTGTTTTCTGTAAATCTGCACAATGAATCACAGAACTAATTGAGCAACCAGAGAAATAATTATTGGAGTTCAAAATAATAAATGTGAACTCTGAATTGTATATGCAATGGAGATTACTATCTAATATAGTTGAAACCCTGATTATTAATCTAGTAAACAACACAGCCTGAGAAGAAAGTAAAATCTAGTACAATGGTAGAAACAGCTGTAAGAAAATCCACACGAAGGCAATAGTAGGATTCTGAGGTCCAATTAGCTGAGAAATTTATGAAGGCAATATGACCGACTTCATTTAAGTATGGAGTTGGGAGACAGGAAATGTACATTCTGAAATGACATATATAATGGAGTTTTTAGAGTGGAAGGACTGAGGAATTTGGAAGTGAGAGGGGTAATGTGATTTTGACTGCATATTCAATTGTGGACAATATTAAGTCGATGGACTGAAATATTAGAGATAGTTGATGGTGATGTGTACAGAGAGTGGGGAGAAAAAAAAAGAAAGAAAAGAAAAGAAATGAAAAGAAAAAGATAGTGTTTGCAAACAATATCACAAAAAGTTTACGTTATTGTTAAGAATAAATGATCTGTTTCTCTTGAAATTGATAGCATTTTGGATTTGACATTTTAGGAGGTTACCATATTCATATCTAGCTTGAATGACAGAATCGTAATCAGCCCTAAATAAATAATTATATGGATATTTTTATTTTATCCCAGATATGTTAATTAATTAATGGACAAGTGAAAAAGTCTTAATATCACTCTGAAATATGTGTGTGTGTGTGTGTGTTACAATTCATTTTAACATCAAAGATGATACCCAAATCAACAGAACACGTTCATAATTAGACCCAATTATTGAAAAGGTATCATTCAAGATATTACAAAATATTCATGGACAACTGAGAAAGTACGTTATTTGCTTCTGGTCATCCGTTTTAAAAAAATCTCTGGTATAGATATGTAGACATATTGGCACTACCAGACAACTTAAAAGTTTTTACTATTTACTATTTTTACACAGTATATCAACTTCTTACACCCCAACATAAAATTCACTACTGAAAAAGAAAACAAACACTACTGTTTTAACTTCCTTGTTGTTACCATCACGCTAGCACAGGACCACCACAAATTCAATATATTCACCCACCCACACTGCCACAATCATACACAATACTTCACAACACCCTTCCTCATACAAACAAGCAGCCTTTCATGATACAGTACATCAGTTAATTTCAATACCCTTGTCTCCAGAAAAAACAAAAAAAGGAATAAACACCATTATACATATAGCCAGGATGAATGGATATGACTAATATCATTGGCAATTCAATAATAAAAAAAACAACTCACATCACAAACACCACACTCACACGCATTCAAAAAAAAACTTTACAGCTACATACCTCACCAGCTCGTATGCCCTTTCTCTTAAAATAGCCACTACACTTAAGAAATTCGATCTCAAAACTATTTTCCACACCACTCACACAGAAAACACTGTGTAAATGTGTTAAAATTAGCCAATGGGTATAACTCCACCCCGAGGCCCCCTCCTCCCGCCTTCACCACAAGCCTCACCTGTCTCGACCCTTCGGCCACACCGCCCCAAATCGGCCTCTTTCATCTTCCAACCGCCGCTTTGTCCTCTTAAACAACTCGCACTTCCCCAAATCTGCAAAACTCACGTTTTCTGCCCAGACGCTGCAAGGTCTGATCCAGTTTGCTAAAGCATCTCCCATAATACATTACATAACTTTTTGTTAATAATGTTTCCATTTTTCAATTTGTATTTCATATATTCTAATCAATAATCACGTATAAATATTCAGATAACTCTGATAATGTGACCGAAAAGATCTTATGATTAAAATTATACTGATATCTGGCAACACCTTTTCTTTAAGTAATTAAGACTGTATATATACTAAAAAGTAGTAGATAAATGTTCCATTCATGACCCCTTGATACTATAATGAAGTTCTAAATTCACAGGATTCAGAAGATGTGAAGATATATTAATAAATATTTCTTGGTATTTCTACAATATTTGAGTTGTCAAGTCAATACTGCCCTTGATTCTTTTTGGATTTCCAGCGACAATAAGTGAGATGCAAAAGCCATTGATCAACTACAATTAGTCATGCAAGCCTAAAAGACAACATATTTTGAAATACCCTATACTACACCAACATCAGTATTATCTTCATGTTCTTCATTTTAACTGAAAATTGGAATCTGGATTCTTTGTCACGAATGTATATGATTTAGTACCTTTCCTAATACATCTGGGCGCTCTGTTATTATATTGACAATCTTTCATACAATGTGAATTTGATGCTAAAGCTGCTTTAAGCGATTTATGAGGAGACTGATCTGATTAAATGAAATATAAGAAATTCAATATGATGAATATTCTTTATAGAAATTTAGTATTTCAGTTAACACTTATATATTTACTTTGTTTTACCCACATATATTGATTTATAATAAATACATCATAAAAAACATATTTTATTTATTTATTTATAGCATTTAACTAGAATAAAATACATATTTTGAAATTCATCTTTCAAATAAGATCTGATAAGGGAATTTATTAAAATATTTTTAGTTCCAGTTGTTTTGACTCTTTCCATACTTTATTTTGTTTTTAAATTTTTTTGGATTAATACCGTAGGCCTTCAAGCGGTCATCTGATACTGGGATGTTAGAATCAGATGTCTCAAATTTGCTTTTCTTTTTCTTTGATTTTCTTCTATTTTCCTGAATTACTGAACTTTGATGGTTCTGTGCTTCATTCAAGCTCTTTTCTTTTTTAAATTTCTTTGGTTTAACTGTTGCCTTAGGAGAATTACTAATGGTCTCATCTAAGTTGCCTGATGTATAATCTTCTGCTCTATTAATATCCTTCTCCATTTTTTGTTTCTTTTTCTTTTGTTTCTTAAAATTTTCTGCAGAACTGTTGTTCACGGTTTCGTCTGAAAAATTATATTTCTTTACATGCTCATATTCACAATCATCATTTTCATTCTCTTGCAATTTTCTCTTCTTGCTTTTCTTTATCTTTGTTCCTTCTGAATGTACATCAAGTGCATCTTCAGATTCATTCCTAAAAAAAAAAAAAAAGATCAAAATTAATACTGTGCTTAAATTTATATCAAATTTAAAATTAATTGTGATTTGTGGACTACAATAGCACATTTATCATTATTTCCAACATTTGTAATTTTTGAAGGTTCAGAGAGATCAATGAAAATGCGACCTTCAACATTCTTTTGACCATCCCTCGCTCTACTATTTTTCATTGAATATATAAATTATAACAATTTTTTGTAATAACTTGAACATCATTTGTCTATGGAAATAAAATAAAATGTTGATTCTTCCAGTGAATAACAAATTCTCAGTTTGCCAGATCTTTAAGGTAATTGTAAACTATAGTCAAAATTGATTTTATTATCTCCTATGCAAAATATTCTACTTCACAGGCATATGAGAATTATGTAAAAAAACAAAGAATAAAGTAAATTTAAATTGTGCGAGTCATCACCTAAATCCTAACTTCACCACTCAGTCAATAACTTTGTTATAATTTATTTTACCTGACATAAAGGCTGGGCAATATTTTTCTCTTTAGGGCTTCATTATTTCCTCGCTTTATGTAGTCTTGTACTTCATATTTTTCAACATGTTCCGGCTTATATTTTACAACTTTTTTTAGAGAACACCATTTGTTCAGTTCTTTTACATCAGCCCTCAAAATCTGTAAATGTAAGATGGTAGTATTAGAAAAAAAATTCTCTTCATGAATTACATATTAATTTCTCTATACAATAAAGGAATTGAAGATAAGTCATTGCTTTTCTTCATTGTAGGAAGTAACATTCTTCAAAAGTAATTTTAAAATTAAAATGAACGGGACAACAGCAGCACAAATAATGAACAAAACCTTGCAAAATAGTTTTCCAAACAATAGCAACCACACTACCCAAGAACAAATAAAATACTCATAGCATTGCAATAAATTAAATATTTTGACAAAAACAGTCTTCACAAATATATTCCATAGCACAGAATAGAATATATACAGTACACTCATTTTACACACCAATAATATAATATTAAGAGGTGCCTTAACAGCACATGCTTTCTCACATTATTTGTAAAGGTCCCACAGTATTATTCTACCGAACGAACCTGCAAATGTGTTTCCAAATCAGCAAATAAACATTTCTCCACTTCAAGAGTTGAAATCAGGTCCATTGAGTTAACTCGCAATGCACTTTACCTCTGCACATCATAGTATCTCAAACATACTTAGAAACTAATGGTCTCTCCTATTATATTTGAAAATTCAGAGAGTTCGACAAAAATTATTCGTGAGACTGCGTCATTCTTTTTAATGTCCCTTGTTCTGTTCATGGAAAAATGATATTTAAGAAAATGTCTTCTTTTACAAATTACATTAATTACTCACAGAAATTACGCAAAAAACACATTTTAAAAGAAAGACGCTACCACATATTTTTTAAAGACCTAATTTTTGGAACAGCTCTCATTTAAAACAGAAACTTGTATCTTCAATACTGTAATTTTGCGATGTTCATGTTTTGGAATTTTCAAAATTTCAGAGAGTAATGGAAATGAGCCATACTCCACTCTTTAGAGTGTCCCTTGTTCTATACGTGGAAAAAATGTAGAGAAAAATTTGGAGCCATTTTGAGAAAAAATTATTTTAATAAATTGCATTATCTTCAAGCTGAAATTAGGTAAAAATTACTAGTCTTTTTTCCCCCCCCCCCCTTTTTTAAAACCTACTCTTTAGAACATGTTTTATATCAGGCAAAAATCTTTATCTTCAATATTGTAATTATGCAATATTAACTTTTCGAATTTCTCTAAAATCCAGAGAGTTTGCATAAAATGGGATTAGCAACACCTATATTTTCAATAGATTATTCATGGCATTATCAAGATCTGTCTTTTGAAGAACAGATTTCATTAGGGAAAAAACTACCTTAGGTATAGCAGTAGTACGCAGAAGTTGAAAAATATTTGAACTTAAAGTATTTTTGAACATCAGGGACTCAATGATGCACCATTCTTTTAAGCATCCTTTATACTATCCGAGGATAAAGTTTAATAAAAAATCTAGAGCCATTTTGAGAAATTTTCGAAAATATAACTGAGGCTTCATGTAAAGTACCCCCAATAATCATTAAATCTCAGCAGAGACTCTAGTTCATTCAAACCAATCTCGGAATATCCAATTAGGAGAAAAATCACACACACCGTTTAACAGACAGATGTTTAGCTATTAATCAATTTTTCAGTATCACTGACAAACTATACATGGATTCGGACTACACAATGTAGAAGTGAAAGTAATTTACCACACATAGCAACAAGATTTATCCAACTATTTCACTCACAAGGCCCGTCAATAAGAAATTTTCTGTCCAAAATTTGCCATTTTCTGGCACATGATTGCATTACTTTCTCTTCTTTTGAAGTAAGGTGACAAAGTAAAAAATTGCAGTTCCATTATGCAACACATAATAGCAAACACTTCATAGTGGGCGACTTCTTGGACTCATGGTCATATGGGGACATCCATAAATTATGTAACGCTGAAGAGGGGGGGGGAGGGGGTTAAGGGTACTGTTACACTGTGTTACATAGGGGTAGGGGGGTCATAGTTTAGTGTTACATAATGCTGATATTTTATTTTTAAAATCTTTCAACATTTTGCCGAAATAATGCCTTTATCAGTTTTATACTACAGTTACCGATATTAAATTAAATTGAAAATATAATAAACTGAAGAAGTTATATTCTATAAATTGTTACAATAAATGAAAATAATTTTCATCGATGATATATTGATTGACTTGGATCTTGGGGGGCGGGGGGGGGGGAGGCTTGTCGCAAGTGCTGTATTTATTAGAGGGGTTTAAGTGTGCTTTACAGGGGAGAGAGGGGGCACAAAATACTCCAAATTTGTGTTACGTAATTTATGGATTGCCCCTATGATGTCATCTGTGTTATAAGCGATAATGCATAAAATATGAGAATTTATTTAGTTACACACAATTAGGGAGCAAGTGTAATAGCTCTATCAAATATTTATTTATTTATTGAATAATCTGAAATGCAGTCATTTTATACAAAATATATTAGCATATTGACTAGAAAAAATTAGCAGTTATCAGACAAAATCAAAAGTGTAATTTTTTTGGATTTTTCTTGACTTCTTGGGTATCTAATGAAATTACAAAAACCTCTCAAGTGGCCAGAGGCTGCATAGTTTTCTTTCAATTTCTGTGTGTTTTGGAAATTAGTAATACTGATTACCAATCTCACCATCACAAACGGATATAGAGCGACTAATTTCAACATTTCAGAAATGATACAGGGAATATCATTAAAAATCTTACCTCATCCACAGTCAAGCCATAATTATTGGGAGTTGTTTGCCTGTACTTGAATCTACATGGTATATCATCAATAATATCTTCACAATCCAATTTATAATATTCATCAAAGTACTGTTCAAATTTTTTGTCATTAGGGTCAAAGACTGGCTTTTGTTTGGCTAGGGCTGCAGCAAATTTAGATTTCCTTCTTTGCTTCTTTTTGCTCTTTGTCATGCTAAGGATTTCATTCTGCAACTCTGCTTTGGGGTCATAGTCACAGTCCATCTGAAATATAGATAATTGAGCATTTTTCAAGAAAAATATGAAATGTGTTCATCACTTTATAAATTTTGAAACTCATGTACATGCAATGGTTTCATTTCATAATAATCTTGTTATAAACTGTGAAGAGAAATAAGAAGTAAAAGGTTCTTGGTACACCTGTTTTTGAAATTAATGTATTATTTTGAAATTAAAGTATGTTTTCTACTTTGAAAGATAAACAATAACCACCATGTAGTCAAGAAATTATAATTTACAATTGAAAGGAAATAAATGAAAGCTTCAAATTAGCAGCTGTTTGAAGATGTAACACTTTAATGAATAAGTAAATAAGGTGGCGAGGTTCAGGCCACTGGGTCTGTTTTGCTACCAAACAGCTTTCAAAAGTTTAACATACTACATAATAAATAAGAGGTAATTCAATGAAAATAGGTACAGAAAAAAAAAAGTTTTTGTTATAAGTAGAGACGGGAAAAAGATTTAGTATAAAACCTCACACCATGTACATAAATATGTAATGAAAATAGTAAGAATATGTAATAATTATATAAAATATGATAAACTATATAATATTAAAATGCAATAATTATAAAACACATTTACACAATATAAAATTACATTTATAAAAAAATCCTACACAACTTTTTTAAAAATAATACAAACATTTAAAAACTCATTTGGAGAGCACAAGCTAATGCACACTTTGTACCATACAACTTTCCCGTCAGTAGTAAAAACTTCATCCATTGTTATCCAGGACTGCAATTTAGCAACCCAACTAGACGCAATAGAAGCCATTGTACAAACCAGTGACCACTCCAGCGTGCAGCATTCTCATCAATGTGTTACATGTCGGCAATCACCAAAATGTCTCATACATTAAAGGTCATGAAATGCAGTCACTGATACACTTCACCCCTCAAGGTGAAAATGATCTGTCATTGATAGTACTTCCTGCTCCAGCACTGAACTGAAGCAGGGGCGCCGGACTGAGAACATCTAACCGTGTCTACACATAGCATTCCTGGAGTACACAACGTGTAATAATAGTGAAGGGAAAATGCAAATTTTTTAAAAATAACTCTTTTCATAACAATGTAATAATTTCAAAAAACTCGATAAAATTAAAAAAATATTTTGTGAAAATAGGAAAATAAATAAAATATGTAATATAGTACTAAATATGTAAAAATATGTAGCAAAAAAATTGAATATTGTGTTTAGACTGTGACGATTCGCTAGATTACAATTTTGAGGACGGTAAGTATAGGTACAAAAATTCGTAATTACATAAATATCCGGTCTCTACTTATGTGCGAGGCAAGCAAGAAAATGAGCAAGGAGAGGCTGAGGGAAAAGGAACACTTAACGTCTAGATTAGAAATATATCTAGTCGTTAAATTTGAATACTCTAGGAGACCTTTCCAAATATAATGAAATCACCTTTGGGTAAATTAACCACAAGAAGAGTAGACTAGGATTAGAAATGCAGTGTTTAACTTAGCAGAATGTTGAAAGTACTACTTAATGTTAGGGATAAAGAGTAAGGATTTTGAAGAAACTAAAATAATCCATATGCATTTTAGAATTCCTCTTAACAAAAAATAGAAAGTGAGAGTATCTCATCAGCTAACAAGCAAAAACACATCAAGACGACACTTGAACAAAATGGAATACTGTATTTACCTGAATATAAGACAACCCCCTAAGTTTGAAGAGGCCTCCTGTGACTTTCTAAAATTTTTAAACTAATTCTTACTATTTAGTCAAAATAAAATTGCAAAATTGTATGATTAATGTTATCAAAAGCAAGATTAAGTTACAATTTTAAGTTTGCTTTCGTCTGCGCTATTGGAACTTTCACTAGTTATACATCTTCATACATTACATTTACATAAACATTTAACTATATTTCCACAAAATAACTAGACTAACTAAAAAATAGAACTTTGTACTGTCATAAAATAGTTATATAATACTAACATTGAAGTTTGGAGCTTCACTATCTGGATGACCCCATGAATTATCACCTTCACATTCATCGTATTGTGCATCTGGGTCATCATGTCCTCGCCAGGCCTCCCAGTTCTCTGATCAAAGAAAATTAATTGTTAAGCACATATTGTACACATTTCTAAAGAACATTAGAGAGGCCACAATAAACACACAATTATGTATACCATTCTTTAACAAAGTTCAATTAATAGGTAAATTTACATTACTATTTTTTGTCTGCATACAGGTTAGTCAATATTCTACACAAGGTTCAGTAGCAAGGCATGGCATTTTTGTGTGGTCATCGCTACATTTGCTCAAAATGCAAGTCTTTCTTTCTGAAGCAATGAGGGGGGGGGGGGAGGGCGCGCGCAATAATGTAGGGTATTCAAGTTTTTGAATGCTTAAAACCTTGTTCAATAAACTAATATTTTTTCACTTTTTAAAATAAATCTCCTTGGACTCCTTTAAGGTAATATAGAAAAATCTTTAGACATCTTGGTGTGGCAACACAACAAAACTGAATAAAAATCTTAAATAAAATCAATTCAATTCAGTGAAATGAAATAATTATTTTAAAATTTGTTTGGTATTCAGTTAGCATTCATTATGATTATTGCTCGTTTTGCAGAATTGCGAGCAAACAATTCAAAAAGGGCTTACAGTTGACTAAACAGTCTCTGCCATTTCAGAATTCCACACATCGACAAGAAGTTCCATACAATCATGAGTTGAACAATTATTATTATATCGCAATTTTTGTTCATATTTACACATCATAGTCAACATGTAAACTTGCTACAGGTTGTAGAACATTAGGTGCAAGAACTAATTCTTATGAAGCCAACAAATCCAACAATTAAAATGCATTTCATACAGCTATAACATTTACCAACAATGAAAAGGAAATCTCAGAATCTCCTCACAATGAGAAGGAATTCTCGATGCTATGTGTGGCATTGCTAAATTCACAATCATTTATGTCTAACAAAAAGAGCCCAGGAAAATCAAACTTCCAAATTCAAAAATTCACAAATTTCAGCTAAGCTGCTCACATTTTTTTTAAAATGTACATAGCCTCTTTTTGAAGAACTGATTTTTTTAAAACCAATTTAATTTAATAAAAAAATACACAAAAATTAATCGTATTTTCAAAAAATAGAATGTGACCTTATTTAAATAACCGTTTTTGATGAACATTAAGGAAAAAAAATTATAACTTCATTATTGTAATTCCAGGAAGGCACCAAAAAAAATTTGAACTCATTACAACTACAATTCCAACTTTTAACTACAACTACTGTGCTACAGAATGGCACACACTTTCTTGTACTAGTTAGTTTTCTAATATTTTTGGTATGGACAAGCATTTTGGTTTGGCTTCTCCCATCAACGTCCTAAGAACATTCTTTCACATTTTCTCAATCTCCCAACGGTAAGAGCTGAAATATGACTTACAATATTATGGAAGAGTAAAACCAATATTTTCACTGAAAAACTTGGAGCCATTTTTGAGGAATTGTCATTCAGGGTTACTGACAATACAACATTTTAAGCTTTTTTTCTAACTTTTGAGTGTTTGAGAAACTTAATTGGAAATTATTTGAAGTGCTTCTATTCACAAATGCAATTGTGTATACATATTGGTGGTAATATTAATATTAAGAATATTAATATGAGCAATATTTCAAAGAGTTACATTTGTGTATATTTTGAAAAAAACAAACAAAAGAAAACATCAAAGGGACATTTCTGCCTTGTTATGTAGTCCATTTATCACTATACATTTAAAACATTTATAGAAAAAATTTTGAGCAGTTTTTGAGAAAATGGGGAATTTCGAGATAATTGAGACTCTTTATAAGACCTCATTTGAAGCATGTGTACTCATAAATGTATTAATGTGCATATATCACTGGTAATGTAAATATTAACAAGAGAGATGTCAAAAAAGTTAGTTGTGTAATGTTTGAAAAAAACCAAAGAACATAGCAAAATAGAGTTCATTTCAGCTGATATAGTAAATTTAGCACTATCACTACCAAAAGTTTAACACTTTAACCGCTGTCATGCCATTTTTGTCCCATTCCATTTTTTATTTGCATTTCTATTAGACATTTTATAGGATAACATTATGCGTCACTGACTTTTTTGCATTTTACAGATATAGGGCCAGTTTTACCAACCGGAATCAAGATGATGATCCCGAGTTGATTCGACTCAACTTCAGTTTGATCCCATTGTACGTTTCTTGAAGCACTTGAAACGAATTAACCTGGCTGACTTGGATCAAATTTGACTCGCAATTGATCTGTTGCCGAGTAGTGGATCACAGCCAGATCAGGCGTTATTTCTCGGCTTTGTCGCCTAGCTATTCCAGTTTTCCGTATTTTTTTTAAGCAAATACCTGTAGTTGGACTTAAGATTCAGTATAGAAGTATTCGCTAAGAAGTAGGATTGCGCATAATATTTGTTGAGTAAATGTGTTTTCTAAGAGGGTATTGCAAATAAAAGTAGGGTTAACACAATTGTTGGTTAGAATTCTCGGTATTGGGAAGTAAAATTTAAATATATTTTGGTTTCAAATTAGTGTAATTATAAGTATCATTAGTAAAATAGCATTTTGTTAGTTGTAGTTTATTGGAGATGCTATTATTCTGCATTTCTATCTAATTTTTGTGATATCTGTATTGCAATTGGCATGGGATAGTTTTATTCAATATTTTTTTTTAGTGTAGTAATACTTTGTTTTTGTTCTTGTTGGGTTAATTTGTGTCGTAAGAATGGAGTTTGTTTTCGAATGAAGTCATTGAAGATTTATTGTGGGGAGAAACACCACGGGTAATTCCCAAAAGAAGCTATTATTTTGAAATGTCAGAACAATCATTAAAACTTTCTTTGTATTTGCTCATTAAGCTTTCGAGTAATTCTCTTTCAACTGGAGAGAAATTGGGCATCGTCTATGCATTTTTCCAACGTCAGGTGAATCCATCACCGAAAAAAAATACTACCATACGCAACCGAACACTACACAGACGGAACGAAATGAAATCAAAACAACTCGTTTCCTACAGCTGACCACGAGAATACCCACAATACATAGCAAAATTGTTGCCAACTGAGCATTATCACGACTGCTCGAAAATCATGGGATCCAATTAACTTCAAAGTTTCAAAACGTTGGTGAAACGCACAGGGATCAAGTCGGCCTTCACTCCACGGATCAGGATCACAAAACACGGATCAACTACGAATTTGATCCTGGTTAGTGAAACCGGCCCATGATGTCCAAAAAAAGTTTCAATACGGATGGATTTTTTAGAAAAAGCATGTTCTACCGAGAACAGGAACCGTGCCATTTTCCTCCAATTGAGAATATGCCACTTCTTTCTATCTAGATTATCAGTGAGGAAATTTTGGTGTGGCCTCAATCAATGTTTCCTTGACTTATGCGTTAACACAGCATAGATAATTGCCGCTATTTTGTCTGTACTGGGGCTCCCAGCCACTTCAGAATCACACTGAAGATGGCCGCAATGCAATCAAAAAAGCTTTATAGAAAAATAAACACCTAAGACAAAACAACACCTCATTTCTATTTCTATTATGATGTCAAAGTCGTAAACACAACACCATTTCGTACTGCAACTTAGATTTTTCTCAATGAAAAATCGGAACGAATTCATAATATAAAACAATATTCATACCTATTTGAAGCTCATTTTCAAGCTCTGGACATTCTGGTTTGTCTTCTTCTTCTACTTGGTAATAATCATCATTGAATAGCTCCCTCATCTTTTGATCATGTTTCTCTGGATTAAAATCATCTTCCAAATCATCATCCTAAAACAGATAGAAATGTACACTTAATTTAGAATCATTTATTTCATTGATTAGTTTTACATTAAGGAATTAAAAATGAGACATAAAACTGAAAAAAGAAGAAAAAACCGAAAGAGGATATGACAAGCATTTGTAAATAATACCAGTGGTGTTACAAAATGGCACTAAATTTTTTGTACAAGTTAGTTCCCTTTTATTTTGAGTAGGAACTGCTTTTTGAATTTTCCCTCGCCTCCTTCCTAGCTATCATCTACCGATATCTAAGGGACCTATTATTGTCTTCTGCAATAACTTGAGTTCTCCTTGCTCTCTTGGAGACTATTCTCAGAAGAGCACCATGAAGAGCACCTTGCCTGGGGCCCTATCTCAATGCTTGCGTCATTGATCTGAGCAAAAGAAGATAGCTCATTTATTACACATACAGACACACCACACACAGAAAAGGTGTGGAAGGAATTATGGAATTAATTAAGGCATTAATAAGGGACAGGAAAGACCCACACTACTAGCTATAGCTCTACCAGAGTAAAAAAAAACTTTCACTGTGCATGCCCAAAAGTGGCCTGCCACTCCAAAGCTAGAAACATTTTTCTTGTCTGGACACTATCACAACATAGCTCTCTCTCCATCTTCCTCTCGTAGGTCGTGCAGTAATTCAACACTGCAAGTTTAGCGATAACAAACTGATGAGTGAGAAGGCGCAGACGAAAAGCAGCTTACATGTTTCTGGAATAGGGGTTGTCCAAATGATGAACAGAAAACAAGCCCTGTCTTCAGAATGGTTTCAGTAATAAGATACTGTAATGGACCAACACATGGAAGAAATTTTTCATTTCTTTGGACACTCCTGGCAGTATGAATTCCTCTTCTGACGATGAGGGCAGTGATGATGCGTGGCGGTCAGTGTGATTGCCCTGTCTCAGAGTCGCCTCTCCTCGTCTCTTATGCACTTCCTAATTGGTGAGAGGAGAAATCTCAACTACTGCATGGCGGGGAAAGCCTCTGAGGCTTCACCAAAGGGACGTCCGCCATGATGGCTTGTTTGGGAGTAGTACAGCTATGAAATTCCTTCCACAGATTTCAAACCACAGCCAATTGTCATGCATAATTCAGAGCACTTAGCTCCATTTGTACAAAAGTTTTGTAGAATTGTGGAGCTGTTTGTGAAAAAAATCTTGTTCAACTATTTGTTTTTAAATTGACCCTATATCACTAAAAATTATAAAAAATATACTCATATTTTGAAACAAATATATTTATAGACAAATATGAAGATTAATGCAGTAAGTATTTTAGATATCTTACAAAAGAAAGAAAATAGTGCCATACAGTAGCCACCTTTCTTTCCTTTGAACTTTACCTAACCTAACGGAACGTAATCTAATTTCTTATTAACTTTGTAGGTGTCCAAAGTGTTGTGAGCAGTCTGAGGAGGTGACTAAGGCACTGATTGTTGATTTGTTACACAAGAATTTCCGTTTAAAAAATGAATAAGATCTTCCTCACATCTTTTACATCCTTGCAAGTGCAAAGGATGTTTGAAGCCAACAACATGAGGCAACGAAGGCTGAGGAAGGAGAACTCTTCGCTACTCACCAAAACTTTTAAATACCATACGCTTCTGTGAGGTAATAAAATACACTTTCGTAGGGAAGCCTTTTCCTGACTATATGTCACAGACGAGAGAATTAAAAGGATTCATAAACTGTTGCTGCAAGGTTTAAGTTCACAAGGTATATGTGAGAAGAAAAACTGATGCACATTCACAAGTGCATCGAATCCTTTCCCGTTAAAACAAAATATTATCCTAGTCAGGATTACAGGTTTTCATTAGCAGAACTCCGTGTAAGAGAAATGTTTCTGTTGTTTAAAGAGACACACCCTGAAACTAATACAAAGTATGAATTTTACTCATAATATTCTAATGAAACTGATGGGCATGAATGTAGATTTTGTCAGTTCGTGGCCCAAAATATACAAAAACAGTTGTCCTAGAAGAAACAAAAAGGCTACTCATTGGACAGAGAGCGACTTTCACTCTCTCTAAACTACATCATCTGGGATATGCAAATAATGAAAAAATTGAGTAAAAGCCAAAGAATACATCAAATTTTGTGAATTTAACACACTGCAACCATTCAACTTTAGAAAAATCGATTGTATTGGGTACACAACACGGGTAGCATACCAATAAAGGCCACAAAAATAGCAGACCTAAGAAAATTATACGACGATGTGCCAAAAGAACACCAGGGATTTTGCAATGAAATCTTGGAATGGGAAACAACATAAATCACTTAATTGTTTAAGACATAATCTAGATATATGAAATGTATTTTGGATCCAGTTTTGAATTCCACAGATAAGCATAAAAACATTTTTTTTTTTAAAGATTTCTATGATAAATACTGATGTGTGCAGAAGGTTTTCTTCAATTTTTAAAAGTCATTAAATTAGACTAAGGTCCCCTATGAAAATCAATGATTCAAATAATTCTGCCATATTTTCTTTTTTAGGCGTTGAAGTCTTGGAGTCAAAACGACTGCTGGGCATTCTAGGAGGTTTTCGTAATTTGGGTGTTCTAGTTTTAAGCTTCCCTTGTTTTAAACATTTAAAAAAATTTACAGAAAGAAATTTGAGAAGTTTTTGAGATAATTTTCTTTCCATATTTCATATTCATTTCAACCAGAAAATATGTGAAAACTACTAAATTTTTCTTTAATTATACAAGACAGTTTTTAAACAGCTGATTGTTTAAAACTTATGGCAAAAATCTCTCTCTTCAAATCTCTATAGTTTTGATATACGTATGCACTTTTTAAAATTTTTGAAAATACAGAGTTCACTGAAAATGGGCCAAGCATAATTTTTTTACTGCTCTTTGATAAATTCTATGATGACTAGTTTAAAAAAAAAAAATTGTTCTTGACCTTTCTTTAAAGAACTGATTCACTCCCTTTCGACTTGCATAAATTGAGGTAAATGAAGAATAAGCAGTACAAACTGGCAGCAAATAATTCTACTAGTTTGTTAGGAGACAAACAGCATGTAAATTTGGACCTCCAAACAACCTACCGCTTAATGGACTTAATTGCACTGATTCACATGAAATCACAAAATGTTTCGCAGATTATTTCGAAGACGTTTATTCAACTGAACCTAGGAACCAATTACCAACAACTGAAAGAAGATACCTGAAACTCTGAATGGTATTTCCGTCAACAATATCGAAAGTGCTCAGATTTTATTTAGTCTAAAGCTGATTCCGCTTTGGGTCCTGATGGGACCCCACCAGTTTTTATAAAATAGTGGTAAATTGTTAGCCCCTTTGTTAAACTTCATTTTCAAACAATCTCTAGGTATGAAAAAACACTACCTAATACAGTAAAACTTCACTGAAGGGAAAAAAACGCATTACTGAAATTGATTATAATGAGCAAAATAAAAACTCAATATTTTTAAGACTACCGTTTCACCAGTTTTTCCAGTTCTTCAGCAATACCTACTTTTTTTTATTGCTCCTCTCCCTAACAACTTTTAATATTTTTATTTTATCTGATATTGAAAGAGTTTGCCTTTTCCTACCACTTTTTTGTTTAATATCACGAGCGCAAAACTAGATAGAAGGCAAACTATACTTTGATTGAAACAGGGTCCTTTAACATAAATCCGGTTGTAGTGAATTCTTAACCTTGGCTAGAGTGAACGTATACATGTTACTGGGAAAAAAAATATCGCCTCAGAACCACAAATTATAACGCTGGTCTGCTTGCAAAAAATATAGGCGACCAAACGTCATCATCGAAGTAGTCTCCCCTTCAGTGGAGGTAGTGGACATGCAATGAGAACCTTACGGGTCATCTTGTGAGACCCAGTTTCGCTGTGGAAACGAAGGCAGTGTCCTGTGTGGGCTACAACTGGCGCAGAGGACACGCGGCTGGTTGATTCGGTTTCAACTTGATGTTACTCAAGATTCTGCATGTCAAAACACTGTGTTCTAAGTGGGCAACAGGAAGTATACAACTGCCACAGCCCCAAAGTTTGGTGTCACCCATCCCGACACGCAGCGTGGAAAAGCGATCAGTTTCATTAGCTACTTGTGCCATGTCATTATCGAAAGGATCTTATATGTTATAACGGTGAGCAAAAGGGCCTTCGGAAAGTGAGACAGTCAGTGCACAAACTTTCTCACTTATTGGCTGTCTACACCATTACTCTCTCCCAGGGACACCTCTGAGTTTCCTTTGGAACTAGCCATCGCCTTCTGAGTTTTTGAAGTTCCACTGCCAGTGGTGGCCCGGGAGCTGACTTTGCACTACCATCCCACGGACTTGCGCAGTCTTGGCCTCTCAGCTAGGCGGAGTCAAGCTTCTATATTTCAAATTCTATTAGAGGGCAGTTGCTTTAGAGGCCGAGCGACAGGTCGCTCCTCAGGAGCACTCTGAACCATGCTGACTCGAGTAACATGCAAGGTTCCAGGCTCTCTGCGCAGGTAACCCTGTGCTTCATGGGGATTATTTGAATATTCTATGGTCTTGAAGAGCCTTTTATTAGGAATGTACAAGTGTGAAAAACATATAAACGTAAAACGCATAACTGAAATAATTTACCATGAGAATTGTAGGAATTTATCCGGGAATCCAGGACTGGGCAAAAAACAAAAATTTATAAATGTGAGAAACGTATAAACAGAGTTTCACTGTATCTGGCAAAAGGCTTATGTCACTCTGATTTTCAAGAAGGGAGATAAACAAAACCCAAGGAACTACAGGCCCATTAGTCTCACCAGTGTGGTATGCACGGCAAAGGTAACTATAATTGCTGCTAGGATTCGAGACCATGCCACCTGGAATGACAGAGGAACAGCATTGCTTTGAATCAGGATAGTCCACAGTCACTAAACTTCATCATTGGATGTCTTGTCGAAATCTGTAGATCTGGGCGAGCCTATGGACATATAGTACATTTGGATTTTGCTAAGGACTTTGATAAGGTGCCACATAGATGCTTTTTTATGTAAGTTGTATTCCTTGAGGACACAAGGGTAAAATTCTTGGGTGGATAAGAGAATTTCTGTCAAGGAGAACTATCCAAGTCAGGGTAGAATAATACTTAACACCCCTAGTAGTGTCTAGTGGAGTACCACAGGGTTCTGTCTTTCGACCTCTACTGTTCATATTATACACCAGTGACCTTGGAAATGAGTTGACTTCGACTTGGAATTACTATGCACACTATGTTAAACTCTTTGCCAACCCCTTGAAATTACATGCTGAGTTGCACAAAGGTCTTCAAACCATGGCAAACTGGTCTGAAACTTGGTTGCTCCCTCTGAACCCAAATAAATGTGTAACACTATTAACTGGAAAAAATAAACCAAAAAGTCCATATTTCATGAACAGGACACATTTGGAGCCAACAAAATGATTTGCATGTGATTATAACAAAAAATCTTAAATGGGGAAAACCAAGTTAACGGGAAACAAAGAGTAAAATACCTTGTATCTGATGAGGAAGGCCTCAAACCTGAACTTTTCAGCAGTTAAAAAGACTTTCTGTACATTTATAAGACCGATAATAGAATATGCCAGTGTAGTGTGGTTACCATACTTTGAGAAAGACAATAAAAACTTAAAAAGAATACAGGGAGTGGCATACAAGATTTCAATTTCTATTAAAAATCTACAATATGACGACATGTAAAAAAATGGATAGGCTAACCCTGAAAAGAGAAGAGAAAGAAGCGGCTTAACTGAAAATTGATATATGAAAATTATCCTCTTAGTTTAGAACAAATATCTAAGTTTGTCATTATTAACACTCAAAGTAAAATCAGAAACAAAAGCATATAGCTCTCAAACAGAGTAAGGTCTTTAACATTAAAATAGCTATATAACAGCACCAAAGCTACCAATAATGCTATCAACTACCAATGAATTTGAAAACCTTGTCCAAGATGGATACCATCAAATCCAATAATTTAAGAAAGTATCTTCAATATTGTAGTTGTAGGAAGATGCTAAAAAAAATAAAAATAAAATTGTACTTTTGCAATTTTTGAACAATCAGTAATTTTAATGAAAAGCAGGCATTTTCCTAAGCGTCATTAAAGCTATCCAAGGACAAAGTTTAATCAAAAAATTTGAAGCCATTTTTGAGAAAATTTTGAGGCTTCATGTAAAGAACCCCCAAAAATCCAAATATGTGCTTCAATCTCACAAAACCAGTAGTTCCTTCAGATCGATCAGGGAATATCGATTTTGGAGAAGATTGGCTGAACAGACAGACATGTTTTGCTGTCAAAACAATTTTTCAGTAAAAAGGACTCGCAAAACATGGATTCTGACAGCATCACATATTATAGGAAATAATTTAGTATTTACAGAAACATGATTTATCATTTTTGTTGCCAGGGCTTGTCAATAAAAGTTTTTCTGTAGAAAATTCAACGTTTTCTGGAGCACGATTTCAATATTTTCTCTTACAAAATAAGGGCAAGAAAATAAATACTGGCTGTATGGTTTACAGCAGACAATCTAATGCTAAACAAAGTTAAAACAGTCTACTTGTCTTATGGCTTTATGGACAGTACTCCCGAAATTTACAGCATAACAATCCGAGCCACATTGTAAATAAGTAAATTCCGCTAGTATATTGATGAGAAGAACCAGAATATATAAATATATGGGCATTTACATTGATGGCATGCTGATTGGATTACATTGATGACACAAACAGATCAAAACATTATTAAATAAACAAGGCATCAGATTTTTCTTTCTTGTCCACTAAGACAAACCCTATATCAACAACAAATCCTAATCATTTCAAGTAGTAGAAGTAATACTACAAATCAAGTGACCTACTACAATTACTATGAATGAATTACTATAATGAACTACTGCAAATTATTATAAGTAGTAGTAATTAAGTATCTTTCATATATTTTTATTGATTAGTAAACATTTTAAATGTAGCCTTGTGCAAAACACATCCAATAAATAACTAATACTTAGAAAAATATAGTCAACTTACTTGCAGATTAACATCATCATTACCAGTAATTTTTTTAATTTGCTCTATTTTATGCAAAATTTCTTTCCTTTTTATTGCTTTAAGTTGTTTAATTTCTTCTCTTTTTGCCTCTTTTTCAGCTTCTTTCCTTTCCCGTACTTCATGCCTCTTTGTTTTTCTTCGGTCATCTTTGCGACGTAATGAAGATTCTGCATTGCGAGGGTAGCGTTTAATCTGCAAGACAATACTTTTGAACATAAAATGAATCAACCGACATAGGCAATTCATTGCAGCAAAGATCAAATTTTATAAAAATTAAAACTTTTTATAAACAAGAGAAGACAAATTTTTAATATTACTTTTGATGGTTTGATACAGTTCATAATATTATGTTGAATATAATATATACATTCTCCTCTAGAAAACAACAATTTAATTTTTTTATATTTTTTAAAAGTTGAATACACAAACTTCATTTCATAATATAGGTTCAGATAAAATATTAACTAAAACTTGTCTACATACATCAGGATAAGCTGTTTTGAAGCTGTAAAGAACGGTTTTTAGTTAGAAATAATTTCAAAGTGAGTTTTGGATAAAAACAATTTCATACTTGTAAAACAAGAACGGCTCGAATGAAAAATTAACTGGGATTACCCTGGGAAAACACATGGGCCACATCTATGCCAAAAGAGCATTGGATGGAAATGAATTCGCCACTTCTATATAAGTCTATGTTCAATATGCAGTAGCAATATGCTACCTTATATTCCAATTTTCATTTGCAAAGAAAGTACTATAATATACATTGTAAACAATGATATATTTTAATTATATACTTTGTAATTTTTGACCAACAATGATGCAATGATGTAATTCAATTAGTTTATCTTTATTTTAATTATATGCATCAATCATTTTTTTGCTCTATAATGATTATTGTACATTAGTTTTAGCTTTATAATTTGATATATATGAATTGTTACTATTTGTACAAGGCGATTGGCATAAATAAACAAAGTGCAACACAAATCATTTATTTGTTTTATATGCTCTTCCTTTGTACTATATAAATATAAATAAGTGGCAATTCCACTGATCTTGTTAAATAACAAATTCCCAAATTTATCAGGCTATTGCCTGTACTGCCAGCTTTTGCTACATCAAATAATCTAGTATCTAGCTTCCATGGGTCAAACCCCACTTCTGAAGTACCTTTCTAACTCTTGAATTTTTAGTCATTTTATATTTTTAAATTTTTCAACATATGCAAGTTTTTTGTAACTATGGAAGAATTCAAAAACAATTTTCATACACTGAAAACCTGCAGTTTTGCCGAAAGATCCCTTTTTACAACAGGTAAATGTCATTAAAATTTGATTAGTTGATGGGACTGATCTCATTTTGAGGTAAAAAAATTTCTTACAAATTCTGGATCAGGTTCTTCAAAACGAAAGTTGTATTTTTTCTCAAAAGCATCCATTCTACTCTCCATTATTGTATTAGTATCCAAATCACAAGAATCATGAGCACTTTCATGGTATGCATGTTGATGATCTGGTTCTTCTAAATACCTGAAAACAAAACTGAGAATGTATAATTGGGCTTAACATAATTTTGTGCACATATCTAAATTAATTTTCCCAGACAAATTCATTAACGAAATTACTGTTACAATAAAAATATATTTTAGAACACTGAATGCGTTTTGCAGGATGTATACAGATTTTATTGTACAAAGCACTCTTACAGTATTTTTTTCCCTTTAGGAACTCCTCAATAATAATGTATACCAAATTTTGTTGAAATTAAATTATTTCGTTCGAGAGTTGTTTTCACATTAGGTATATTTTGCACACTAAAGATGATACCATTTATATTAGAAGAAACACTTGTACACATAAAAGATAAGTAATTATATGCTCTTTCATATCAAATGAGATTGCTATTTATGAAAAATCGATAGTTTTTAAGTTATACTGACAAAGTGGGATAATTCCCGTTTTGTCACGTGTTTCACATATTTAACCAAAATGTTCTCACAACTAAACTACTAATTGGAGGAAAATTTAAAAAAAAAATAATATCTAGTTGCATAATTGTGGTTATTAGCAACTATTCATAGTTACAGATACATTATAATACTACATATACAATTAGGTACAACATTAAATCAACACAATACAAAGAAGTATTTACAAGTGACAATGGTACCAAATGCCCCCAAATATATTTGTTGCTTTATAGAAGTTAATTATGTAATTTTGATCTTCAGTACAATAAAGTAATGCTTCATGATTAAATACAAATAACTGCCTTAGATGTTTGAATCTTGGACAAACTTTAAACATGTGATCTAGATTTATTTGGACAGGGGGAGATGATTTATATATTAGAGATGGTTTAGCTTGGAGTGTCCAGATCTTATTCTTAAAAGGACTACTTGTTCCTTGTGGCGCATTTTCTTACTGGTGATTAGCGAGTAAAAAAACAAAAATTGTTAGTGACATTAAATTTTATCTCCTTACACTTCATATAGCTCTATTATTTACTAATAAAGTATGGCTTTTGAGTTATTTTGAAAAAAACTACGTAAGGGGTGAATTTTACAAATTTTTTGGTTAAAAAAAGGTGTTCCTAGGTAAAATTTTTGTTGGCGTGCCTAATATTTGTGTTCAGCAACTCAAAAAACATACAGAAACTAAATATCAAAACCACACCTAAACTTTTTCCTATTTGCATTCTTTGAACACCATTTGAGTGGACCGTTTTGACTGATTAGTGTCCTTGCTGCTTCATCAAATGCAACACCATTCTATACTTTTAATACAAGGGAATTCAACACCTTTAGTTTCTGAACATTTTCTATTTCTATAACTACAAACTTATATAAAAATGCATTGATTTGACCTTACTTTTGGTTCAGAATATAATCTCTGAGGAAAACTTCATCAGAATCCAGTTTAGGATCAGTCCAATAATCATGTAAATTTTTCAATTCCGATTCAGTTTCTTTATCTTTTAATTCTTTTTTACGACCTTTTAACCACTCTTTATAATCATCATCTTCTTTTTGCTGCAAAACAGAAATAGAATTAATATAAATACTAATAAGAAGCTGCAAAACAATATTTCTTCCGGGAGAAATAGTTCTTTATTTTTAAAATAGAATGTATTTACAGGCACAATGTCGCAACATATATAAAAAATGAATATTTGAAAACCTTACCCCTGTAGTCTACATTTCTTGCTATAATTTTGTAATCCTTTATTGTGCTAATGCCCACAGGATTTAAATTTAAAAAAAACATTAAAAATAAATAAAGGAAATAACAATAGTTAGATACATTAAGGGATTAGTAGTTTGTTATTGCTTGCACCATAGTTGTGAACCAAAAGAACAGAGAGAAAAATTTATTTTAAAATTTCAAACTCTTCTAAAAACAAACATGATTTCTAAAGCACCGTGGAAGAACATTATTTACAGAAGTATAGTTTTAAACAGAACATACAATTTCCTCTTTTGTTTTCTGCTTTTTCTTAAAAAGGTTGCCAATATCTTCTTCCTCTTCTAAATCTGAATTTTCCAGAACTTGTTTAAAACTATTTTTGAGTGCCTTCTGTTCTTCAACATAAGTGGGAGAAGATGAACGGGGATCCCTCTCAGGCATTTCTTCTGCAATCAAAGTTCAATTATAAAAATCATCAACAGCAATAATAGGCAAATAGTAAGGAACTTCACAATCAAACTGGGAGGTATTTACCATCATCACTAAGTTTGCCGCCTTTTTCCACAATAAGATTTCTTTCATAGTCCCGCAAAACAAAGGGTTTGTCTTTCTTATTTTTTGATTTTTTTTGGAGAGTATTAGGAGAAGGAACAAATTGTTCAATTTTATCATATTTATTAGGATCATCACTTTTCAACCATGCCATCATTTTTAAGAACGGTTTATCAAAATAATCTACATTGTCATCTTCTGAACTCGATTCATCTGAATCAGAATTTCTGTCATCTGTCTTGCCGTTTATTTTCTTACCATTTACATCTTTCCCTAGAGGAGAAAGCTTATATTTAAGAATGTTAAAACAAATTAAATGACATAGAGAAACATTTTACATACAGTGTTGTGAGAACTCCCTTGACCGCCATTTTTCATAATTCTGTGCATATTTTTCATTTATTGTAAATTGGACTTCACCATTATCACCACCAAATAGATCCATTGTCCTGTCTATTTGTTCTCTGAAAAATTATCAACAATTTCATGTCACACACAATTAGTGTTTGGATGCAATGTAAAAACTATAGCAAAAGACAACATAATTATAGAACCAAGCAGCTCACTACAATGGTGGGGGAACAAGTTTTAAATAGTCAAACTGTTTCATGCCAAACCAATTAAAATATTGGGGGGGGGGTTATATAAATAAGTGAACCATCATCTAAGTAGATAGTGAGGGTGGTCACAATTTTTTGTAGATCAATTTTCCCTGACTACCTGCTTTTCCAGTAAATTTATTTATAATTCCCTAATTTGCTCCATCTCATTAATCCAATAAAAATGAAAAGAAAGAAATGTTATAAAGTTTTCTTATTATTATCACATTCTAGAAGAAAAATACTCTCCCACATCAGAAACACAGTTCAACAATTCAGGGATTTCAACGCTCTACTTGCTGCAAAGATATCTCCCAGGATGTGACAAGGTCTTAATCCCTTGTTCAAAATACAACCATTTGACCTGATCCATTCATGCGCATAGTTTTAAATGCTGACCCTATGAAGGTGCCCAGGGGCACTACACTCATTCCCAAGACATAGTATCTAATGGGACACTACCGAAAACTTAAAACATTAATTTGAGAAAGGATAGGTGACCTCCTTCAAATTATTCTTTCCAGTTGTTTTCCTACATTTCTAGTTATTTTTAATTATTCACTAGTAATAAAAATTAAAATACAGATTGAAGAAAATATTTTGCAGACAGACTGCTGTGAAATTTCTCCATATTGACAACACATACGCAAGACTATACTAAAGCCACAGAGCAGAAACTACAGAACTATACTAAACAAAATGTTTCTAAAAAATTCCTTGATTTTTCATGACTTCTCATGATATTCCAGATTTTTCAGAAAGTGGCCACCCTAACAGCAATTATTAAATGACAAAAAAATCCAATGCTTCTGGGAATGTAAGGCACTCAGTGTATACATTTTAAATAAAAGATTATGAATGTTGTTAACATTATTAATAAGACTCCTGTTATCACCTACTAGAATTAAATTAAAAAATTAAACTTTTTCAATATGCTTCTTCTTGATCATAATAACATTTACAGACATGTCATTAAATAAATATCTTGATAAAAATCACATGGCAATTTTGCTCTCTGATCTTCCCTTCAAAGTGCTCACGAAGTGTGAATTAGTTACATTAAAAAACTATGAATTACCTACAAATTTTCACCAATACACAAATCTGAAAACTTACTTGGTGCAATTGATAAACCTGTCAACTGACAAGAAACATCATTACACCTTACATACTCTTAAGAGTCCAAGTGCTTTTTGAAGGCATCCTCTTTTGCACTCTTCCATCAATTAGTGTTATTCTTTTGTATTATTTTTTTATTATTCTGGAAAATTATTTTAACTTTAATATAACATAAAACTTCTTCAAATTATTATATTAATTTTTCAAATAAATATTTCACTGCTTCAAAACGTTTCTTAAGCACTGTTGCGCAGTGAACTCAGTTTAAACATTTTCTTAACCATGAAATGAAAATACTAAAAGCATATTTTGAAAAGGTTTAATAATATCCTACATACTATCAATTCCTAAAATCTTAAGTATATTATAATAGTACTTAATAAATAAAATTGGAAGTGTTCTTCAGAATGCAGACAAAATAGAGTAAAATACATACAAAGCTTATAATGTAAAATCACAGGTTGTCTTTCCACAAAAGCAATAAAAAGGACTCTATTAATTAAATCTTAAATATGAGGTATGTTCTTTTCCTATCTTAACAATCTGGTAACAATAAAATGTAAACAAAAAATTAATAAAAACACAACACAAAGGGGTAAACATTTTTTACCAGATATTGTTTCCCTACTATTTGACTCGCCTCACCTCACAGAAAGATTTACAGATTCACTCTCACAGTAAACATCACACAAAAAACATAACAAGCCCGAAATGACAGCAGAACAAATTAATTTCAAAAAGAATTTAAAATTCCACAAGCCAACCACGAGGTATATATGTCAACCTCGTTCAGGAGCAAGTAACCACAAGCAAGGCCTTAGAACTCCCATACAACGTGGTGCACGTGGTGGCAAATGGACCGTTACGGTAGCGCGCTCTGCTGCAGCACCATCTCACAGGTACTAAAACACGAATTGCTGCCAACGATACTTCAAACGTGCCTGCTGCGAGTCACAAGCAAGCCCCTAATCTTACAAAAGACAGCGCCGATGTTCGCAATTTCTTCAGAAGTTTCTTATATGTGTTATATTATGAATAATTTAATATTTAAAAGACACTTTTCTTATTCTCACAAATTAGCCAATTTTTATGTGTGGAAGTTGGCGAGTAACCTGAAGCTGTACCTGGCGACACTAGCGCCTTCTAGAGTAGCACACTTTGTCCCCTGTTTTGACGGAGAGTTACTAGACCCTAACTACCAAGGCCTCACACACCAATGTCAAGGAGGTCTAACGCGCAACAAAAATTGAACGTTGCGCCGTCCGCCATGATGGTGGCAAAAGCACCTGAGCATACAAATACGGCGTTTCGGAAATAAAAGCATGAATAAACATTCAGTTAGATCATAGAGTAGAGATAGTTGTATCTCTCCTCTATGAGTTAGATGCATCAATAAGAAAATATTCGTAATAAAACGTATTTTTTTATTCTACGGATCAATGACATTCCTTCACAATGTTCAGAGAATACATTTTCTTGTTTTATACAGAACTTTTTATGACTAATCTCAACTGCAAAACTGCTTGTTATAAACAAATTATATTGGGTTTTGTTTATATTAACGTTTACTGGCACATGAACAACCTTTCATAATGAAGTATGATGGACAGGAAGACAATCTTTGTGTTTACAAATTTTCCTAAAAGCACATCAACTTGATGATATACAAGATTTAGAAGGAAAATTAGACACTAATAAGTTTCAATTAACCTATTAGTATAACACTTCAGGACAAAATTGAAGAAATGAAGTCTTGAATAAGGAAAATAAATTATTAAAAACATTCTAACCAATAATATTTAATAATTATAGAGAACTTTTTCTTTTGAAAGGATTTAGGGACATTGGACAGGGTTGTAATGAAACTGACTTTTTTTAGAAATATAATTTTATTTATTGGTTCATGAAGGTGATTGACTTTGTGCAATGTTGTCTTATTAATATTTTATGTAAGAAACTATTGTGACATTCTGCTAAGTGGTAAAGCTTGATTTTAACATACAAACTTACGAATATAGATTCGTACAACCGAATGCTGCACAGCAACTGACCATAATGTTTCACTAAAAACTTTAATTATAAAATAAACGCTCGTAAACGCACATGGGCTTCGGCTATTCACTTCACACACCATCAACCATCAACATGGCGGACCGCGCAGTGTTCAAATTGCAGCGCTCCGAAAGGCAGGAGGGTAGGTCTAGTACTATATTCCAAAGTCTTTGCCACAAAGGCTTATTTGTAAAGAAGTACCAAGAAAGTCCGAGACTCAGGGGAATCCCATGCTAAATCTTCGCCTAACGAAAACTCGTACCAACTAAGTACCATACTTCTGTGCTTTATAATACATTATTTGTGCTGTATCTTTTTCAAAAAACAACATGAAATATATTTAAATAATTAAAGAAATGTGAGTTTAATGTATTGAAAACATATCTCCTTTATCTAATTCTTTACTTCATAGTTATATTCAAAGATTTTCCATTCTGTTGCTACAACAAATGTTTAGAAATCTCTTCTGCTGATCGGTAGGCAGTACTGACTTGGTCTGGCCGGCTGAATGTGAATTCGTGCTATACCGAGATGTGAGTTATGAATGTTGTTGCGGTAAAGCGAATGTGTACGTGTGTGTTTGTTTTCGTATTCCATTAGAGTTATCAAGAACGATAACAGTGCTCCATTATTAATGCGAAATTCGTGAATATTAGTACGTCGAATGATCGAATACACACGTGAATTTGAGGTACACGCGTGGAATGAATTATGATTGAAGATGAACAGTGTTCAATTAAATATTTTAAATATTAATTTTGCGAATCTTAATACGGAAGACAAGTTACGAATTAAGGAACTGGGCTGACCATTACCTGATCTTAAGTTAGAACAAACACAAACCAGTCGAGGTAAGAACTTTTAAGCGGAATACTAGGAACAGCTAGTTATGCAGGTCTGAAGTGACAACTATATTGTTGCCCGTGCTTGATTTTGCAGTGAATAAGGATGTGGTATGTGGATGGTCAAAAACTGGAGTAGATGATTTGAATAACTTGTCGCAAAAAATCGAGAAGCCTGAAGAATCTGTTGCCCATGAAAATACTTGCTTAGATTTTTTCGTATTATGGAGGAGGGACACAAGACAGCAACTCAGCAGTACCTTCAGATAAAACATTGAAAAAACAATCATACCGTTCGAAAAAATCGGTTGATACTTTTAAGAATAATTGACTGCATAAAGTTTTGTGGCGAGTTTGAACTTGCATTATGTGGTCATAAAATATCTGAGTCGAATAACCAGAGCACCTCAATTCTGCTACTGTATTTAAAGGCACATCGAAAGAAGAACAAAATAATTTATTAGAATATATGTTGGTTGTGTGCAGGGAGAGAATTGTTTCTGAAATAGGGAAAGCTGATTTTTGTCTGTAACCGCAGATGAAAGCACAGATGTTTCGTTAATGTCACAATTAGTTGTGTTTCGATGTGTGATACCCACTAGGAAACCTTTAGAAATTTTTGGACATTTTTAAACCCCTCTAGTACTAATGCAAATTATTTAGCTTCTTACCTTAAAGAAATACTTCACAAAGTCCTTAGAGAACTGTTGTACGAAACACGACAAACAATACTCAATTGGAATGGCGTTTATTAGTTGACTTTGGAATAAACAGTATTATACAGCAGATGAGCGTAGCACGTTCGTCACCGCGTGCCCGGCGTCCAGCATCTGACTGTCGAGCGGCCTGCAGTCAGGCCGTTGCGGTAGTTTGTGGCGCGCTTGCAAGGTGGCGCTCTCTATCACACAAGAACAAAGATAAATTTATTTCTCAAAGTTATGATGCCAATGTTATGAGCGATTGTCACTCTGGCGTCCAAATATTAATGAGACAAGAATATCCATTTGCTTTCTTTGCACATCAGCTCAATTTAATTGTTTCACAGGCCACAAGTCAGAATAAACAAGTACTATTGCTTTCTTTATTTCTACAATTGGTGAAATATCATCGTTTTCTCATTTACCCCAGAGCGTTTCTGTGTTAAATGATGTAGTAGGTAAATGAATACCACATGGTTCTGCTACAAGATGGAATTTTTAATCTAGATCCGTTCTAACGATTTACGAACACAGAGAATCTATACTAGAATGCCTCACAAGAATTCAAGAAAGCAGCATGCAAACAATTACTATCAACCAGGTCCATGGGTTATGACTTTAATTACAGGAGCGTACCTTTCAATTCTGATATTTTTTTTGTCGAGTTATGCTCCATGTGGACATTATGTACAATTAGTTACAACGCTGTACTAGTGTTCTTTCTATAAAACATAACATCATTTGAAAAAGAAATGACAAAAATGAGAGTGGACGTTGATCAAATGTTTACAACGGAAAGTCCCGAAGAAGGTGATCGAGGAAAGCTAAGACGGGAAGACCAACGCTCGTCCAGAGCCACTGCAGCGAAGGAAGTGTGTGATGCAATTGCGAACCATTGTAAAGAAATATTTGAATTTTGTAACCTCCACCGATCTTCTATATTATTTGATAACTTACAATTTACATCATTCGGATAAAAACATTCCTGAGAAATATATGTCAGTACTTATGGAAACATATTCTTTTTTCAACAAGCATCAGTTGAGAACAGAATTACAAGCTATTTTCTCAGGGCCTGACTTTGAGGAACACGCTAGCGTGACAGTTCTTCTTGGATTCTTGGTTGAAAATAACCTCGGTGAGTCATTCAATGAAGTTATTCTGTAACTGAAATTACTTGCACGGGATAAGATATACGAAGGTTGCCTTTTATGTTTCGGGATTTGACAACCCTGGTGTTCCAATCTGGCAACTGACAGCTCTATCGTAAAGTTGGATGTTTTGAGGTTATACGTACTCAGAACGTTTTGACATACGAGCGCTATTTGTGTTGTTTACAGTAATATTACAGTAAATTGATTTATCTTGGCCCAAAAATGGAATTCAATCGTGAACATTTTCGTGCGATTATTTTTTACAACTTTCGTCGTGGATTAACTCAGCATCAGTGCATGGATGAACTTAATTCAATTTTTGGCGATGAAGCTCTATCAAGGACCAGTGTTTATCGATGGTATGGTGAATTCAATTGTGGTCATAATTCACTCCAAGACGAATTTCGCGAAGGTCGTCCAAAATCAGTTGTTCCGAAAACCATTGATGCTGTGCGTGAACTGATATTGCAAGATCGTCATGTGACCTATCGCGAGATTGAGACAGCCTTAGTTATTAGTGGGACCAGCATACATTTAATATTTCATGAACATTTGACTGTCAAAAAAATTGTTCGCGTTGGATCCCACACAATTTGTAAATCACTCAAAAAATGGCTCGTGTCGTTGGTTGAATGAAATACTCAAAAAATACGATCGCGGTGTTTCGAAACACGTCTATGACATTGTGACAGTTGACGAATCGTGGAATTACGCGTATGAGCCCGACAGTAAACAGCAGTCGACTGTATGGGTGTTTCAAGATGAGCAAAATCCAACAAAAGTTGTTCGCGCACAAAGCACTTTCAAACAGATGGACGCCTGTTTTTTTTTCGGAAAAACTGGACATGTCGCAACCGTACCACTAGAACAATGCAGAACAGTCAATTCTGAGTGGTACACAACGATTTGTTTGCCAGCTGTCTTCCAAGAAATCAGGAAAACCAACTTCCGAAGACGGATCACTCTTCACCATGACAGTGCGAGTTCTCACACGTCGGCTCAAACCACTGTATTTTTGAGCACCAAAAACATCGATTTGATGAGTCATCCGCCGTATAGTCCTGACTTGGCACCGAATGACTTCTTTTTATTTCCGTACGTAAAAAACAAAGTGAGAGGTCAACGTTTTTCGACACCTGAATAGGCGGTTGCT